CTCTTCCCATCTTTATGCACTTTCTTCTCTTTTCCTGCCTCGCTTGGAGGCTGGAGCCCCCAGGGCTGTGTTGACGAGAGTGGTGAGGGCGGGCATCCTCGCCTATCCCCGTCGTGAGGGAAAAGGTTGGTCTCCTACATGTGGTATGATGGCAACTAGAGTGAGGCAGGTGCCCCTTATCAATGTGAGGTGGCGCCCTTCTAGGCCTAGTTCCCTATGGTTTTTGTCATGAATGAGTGTTAGATTTTTGTCAGATGCTTTTTCTGCATTCATGGGTGTATTTTTTTTTGGATATTTCTGGCTCTTAGGATCAATACCTGGAAATAAAAGTAGAGGATGAAAATGCATAAACATTTCAAGCTGTTTGCATGCTAATTCCTGGTTGCCATTCAGGGCAATTTGACCGGTGTAGAGTCCCCCGAGTCATGCAAGAATGTTTCCCCAAACCCTTACCTACAGTGAATATTCTAATTTTTAAATTACCGGCAATTTCGTAGACTTCCCCCTAAATGATATCTTATCCCATTTGCATTTATTTCATTACTCTGGACTTGAAAATTTTATTGGTTATTTGTATTTATTCTCTAGTGATTTGTTTTTTCTTATCCTTTTGACATTTTTCTATTGGGAATTTTTTCTTTTCTTTTTGATTTACATACTTTTTTTCATATTAGAGATGTTGATCTCTGTCATATGTATGTCCCAGTTTGTTCTTTGGCTTTTTGTTTTGTTTTTAATAGATTGTATTTTTTTAGAGCAGTTTAGGTTCATAACAAAATTGAGCGGAAGGTACCGAGATTTCCCATATACCCCCTGCCCTGCCCACATGCACAGAACCCCACTATGGACATCCCCCACCGGTGGTGCATTTGTTACAATTGACAAACCTCAGTTGACACATCATTATCAACTAAAGCCCACAGCTTACGTTAGGGCTCATCTTGGTGTCGTGCATTCTGTGGATTTGGACACGGGTAATGACACGCATCCACATTACAGTATCCTACAGTCATTTCACTGCCCTAAAAATCCTCTGTGCTCCGCCTGTCCACCCCTCCTTCCCGCCACTTCCTGGCCACCACTGATCTTTTTACTGTCTCCATAGTTTTGCCTTTTCCAGAATGTGATATAACTGGAATCATACAGTGTGTAGGCTTTTCAGACTGGCTTTTTTCAATTCGGAATATGCATTTAAGGTTCCTTCCTGTCTCTCCGTGGCTTGATAGCTCATCTCTTTTTCGTGCTGGATAATATCCTCTTGTCTGGATGGACCACAGTTTGCTTGGCCGTCCACCTACTGAAGGACATCTCGGCTGCCTCGAAGTTCTGGCAATTATGAGGAACCATCAAAGGGGGGCATTATTTCCAGCCCCCCTCACCCCATCGTTCCCACTCCACACACACACAACAACACCCTCCAAAACCTGCACACCCTTCCCAACATGCCATGCCCTGCTCTCCCCATGGGGTGGGCTGAAGTTTCCAGAAACCAGATTCAGGATGGAGGCTCACGCTGGCAGAGACATGGGCAGAGGCCCCCTCTCCGCTGCTGTGGCCAGAAGGACTGGTCCCCTGGAGGAGGAGGAGCTGATTTCAAACCAGGAAAGAGCCCCAGAGAGAGGGCCCACCCCACTCCTTCCTGCAGCAACTCGCCTCCACAGGCAGGAGCCTGCTTAAACCCTTTACAACTCCCAGGGGGAAATTATTGGCATTAATTAATTGATTGATTAATTAATTCAGGACACTATACTTGAGACCTGGGGCTCCATCGAATTAACATTCAGCTGACTCTAAAGGCTCGGAACAAAGAAAAGCAGGAGCATTTAGAAGTTTGAATATTTCAAAATAGTAAAATCTGGCCCCAGTGTCTCTTTGACCTTGAGAACCACAACTCAATAATTTTGGAGGTTTCTTCCTCCCTCCTCAAGCCTTTTCTGAAAGTGGACACTTCTGGTATGCGTGTATGAGTTATCTATTGCTGCGTAACAAACGACTCCAAAACATAGCCGCTTGAAATAGCAACCTTTTATTTGCTCACAGTTCTGGGCTAGGCTGGTGCTGCCGGGCTCTCCCCGGCTCCTTCAGGCAGCCGTGGCCAGCTGGAGGCTCGACTGGGTGGAGGGTCTGCAATGGCCTCTGTCCACATGGGTGGGGGCTCCGGTGCTGACTCTCATCTGGGCCTCGTCCTCATGGTCTCGTCTCTCGTGCCTGGGCTTCCTTATCTGGCAGCAGGATGCACCAAGAGTGAGAATGCAGAAGCTGCCAGGCCTCCTGAGGCCAGGCTCCAGAGCTCACAGAAAGGCGCTTTCACCGCATCCTATTGGCCAAAGCAACTCACAGGGCCGCCTGGATTCCGGGGCTGGGGAATCGACTCTGTGCCTCACATTGCGTGGGTTGCCAAGTGGAGAAAGAACTCACTTGCTGTGTTTTGCGGTGACGATGCTGGCATTTCTCTCTTTCGTTTCTGTTTTTGCATTTTGGTGATCCTTAGAGCACAACAAAACTAAGAAACGCTGTATTTCCTAGCGTTTAGCATCTTCTGGTTCTATCTATAAAACATTTTAAACTTGCAGTTTGGAGAATTATTGCCTAAATAAACTACCCTTTTAATTTTAATGCAGCACACATAATAATTTTATGACCAAGCCAAATTATAACCAGCACATATGAATAGTCTTAAAACCAAATTGCTCCACGTGTGTGAAAAGATGAAAAATAAAAACTGTGCATATTTCAATTTCCCCAAGATTTTATTTCTTTACGATTTTTTTTTTCTATGACTTCAAAATTCCCAGACCTTTTACATTTTCATCCCAGGCATGAGCATTAAATGACTTCGCGTCCTATGCCAGGCCTGTGCTGGGAGCTGGAGATGCAGCAGCAGCCAGGGTACAGTTGTGACCCTTGGCAGGCGATGTCGTCCTCCATGACCTCGATGGCCATACGGTCATCTGCCATCACAGACCCTAAATAACAGGGAGCTGAGGCTTCCGTCAACTTTGCTCCAGTTTGAACCCCTGGAACCCCAGCTGTAGGTCCCAGGCATAGTGTCTTGAATTAATTAATCGATCAATTAATTAATGCAAATAATTTCCCCCTAAGGAGTTGTAAAGGGTTTAAGCAGGCTTCTGCCTGGAGGCAAGTTGCTGCAGGAAGCTGCGGGTGGGCCCTCTCTCTGCAGCTCCTTCCCCCCCGGGGGACCAGTCCTCCCACTGCAACAGCAGAGCAGGTCTTCCCCCCCGTGATTCTGCCAGAGTGAGTCTCCATCCTGGCTTGGCCTGCCCCACAGGGTGAGCAGGACGCCCCAGGTTGGGAGGGCGTGCAGGTTTTAGAGGATCCACTCGGAGCCTGTGGAGAGGGGAGGATGAGGGGCGGGGGCTGGAAATAATGCCACCCTTTGGTGGCTCCCCTCCAGCTGGTTTGGAGGCCAGCCCGGGATGGGCCGGCCGGCCGGGGACGCACGCCGAGCACATGCTCCCCGGCCGCTGCGGCCGCATTGTTCCATAAGCAGATTATGAAACGCCGCATGAAGTGGCCTGGCGGGGGAGCTGACTTCAGACCTGCGACTTGCCTTGTTTCGCAAACAATAATTGCACAGCGCAGCCCAGTCAGGGTCCACTCGGGAAGACGGGAGAATCCCTCAGCCTTTTGGGGTCCGAGTTTGCTGTGTGGCCACAGTGGGTCAGCTTATCCGCCTATCTTGCCATCCGGGTATCTATCTTGACCTGAGGCTGTCTCCTCGGAAAGCCCAGGTGCCCCACAGAAATGGAAGGACCAGGCTCTGTCGCCTCCTCAGACGGGTGGGGAAGAAAGCCCCCTCCCACCCCCCAGGCCGGGTGTTGTTCTAGAAGCAGCGAAGGGTCTGAAAGGGCAGCCTTTCTCTTTGAGGAAGTTCCGAGTTCTGAGGGACTGTGCTCAAATCATCCAAGACTGGGTACCCGCTGGAGGAAGAGGTGCCTCTGACACTTTTATGTCCTGGGCTAAAATGAGAAAGCAGGATAAGGCGACAGCAGGGGTCTCTCTGTAGGATGCTGGGCTCAGAGTCCAGACCGAAGCTTGCCCTTAGCCTGCGTGGACGTCAGCAGGCATTTGCTGGATGTTACCATTAAATCTCAAGAGAGAGCATTTAGCCTGTGGGGTGGCTGAATTCATGTAATAAAATATTTTGCAACTGAGGTTCTAAACAAATTCATGAATTTTTTTAAAAAAAAGCAGAATAAGTGGGGTTGTATTGTGAACTTCAAACTTAGAGGCAGTGAAATATGCCGGTGAGGACATGGGCCACAAAGCTTGGGTTCAAATCCAGCTCCACCGCCTGATAGCTGTGTGGTCTGGAGCAAGTTACTTAACCTCTCTGCGCCTCAGTCCCTCTTCTGTACAATGGAGGTAACAACACTACCCATCCCAGAGGGTGGGCCAGGCCCATGCTGAGCGTTTGTAAATGTTCCTTGTTTATATTAATAGTATTAATAACCCAAATGTTTCCTTACTGAACCAACACTTTTTCAGGAAAATAGTGAACCAATCTAAATCCAAAAGGAAGCTCCGTGCTGTCCGAAATGGTCATGAAACAGCTCCTCTTAGGAAACCCTGAGGACCAGGGTGCCCAGCACTGAGCGCTGTGCAGCCATAGTCTACACAAAGCCCCATTTTTACCCTCGCGTTGCAAATGTGGAAACAAAGGCTCAGAGGGGCTTGGTAACATTGCCAAGGTCACACAGCAAGGGCCAGTCAGTGTGACCTCTTCTGTCACCTTGACCACTTACTGCCTCTATTGAAGTGGAACTGAATTTGACCACGAAAATGCTTTCCCATCTACATGAAAATGTCACTGGGCATGACCTTGACGGGATTCCTTCACTCCTGGTGTCTCTGGAGAGCCTGTGACGTGCACGTGTGTTTGGTGTGCGTGTTTCCACGGTTTCCCCCAGCCCTCCCCTGCCCTTCCCCCCTGGCTGCATGGACAGAGAAACGTGTGGCCATCACCTGACCTGCTCCAGCAGCTCCCCCTCCAGCGCGGACGCCCACCTGCGCTTCTCGGACAGTGACGGCCTCCTGCAGACCCCGCGCTGGGACGAGCCACAGCGGGCGTGTGCCCTGGAGCAGATCTGTGGCGTGTTCCGTGTGGACCTGGGGCACATGCGCTCCCTCCGCCTGTTTTTCAGGTGAGCTCCATCTCTTGGTGGCTTCCCGGAAGTCGGAGGTTGTGCCGCGTCCGGGCGCGGGCTGGGGCTCCGGGGTCAGGGCCCCGGCTGTTTCACTAACGCCAGCATCCCTAAACCAGTGCTTCCCAACATCACTGTCTCATCAGCAGTGGTACCTACTATGACTGCCCCACGGGAACCTGGTCGGGTGGCTCCCTAACTCTTCCATCTGCCCTCAGGGTGTTGGTAGCCGGCTATTGCTTGGAACTCTGGCTTGGGGGAAGAAGCGAAGAAGCCAGACCAGGGCTGCACAGAGAGTAGCGTCTGCAGGCTGCTCCCTGTCACCCACCCAGGGGCTCTGCAGCTCGCCCGTGTGCTCAGAACCGGGCTGCGGCTTTCTGATGGGCGGACCGTGGCTATTAGTGTCCTGCCTAATAGTTACATCTCTCCTCCCGAAAGGCAGGGTGGCCCAGTGAGAGACAGTGCCAACCACAGACCTGCTTAGAAGAAACAGGCGCGTCACTGGAAGGGGTTGCCCCACCAGAGACACATTCCGGCCTTTCACGGAAGGGCGGCGAAGGTGGGGCTGCCCGCCTGATGGATGTGCCGTGAATTTCCCTGCAGGAGTCTCCCAGAGTGCCACCCGTGAATGATGTTCTCTCAGTGCCCGCCCCACCTGGGTTCAAAACCTGCTTCCACTCCGCTGGTCTCCTGGAGAGAAAGGACTGGGCGGCCTGGCGGGTGGGAGCGGGGGCGGCAGGCTGCTCTGGCAGGTCTCCCGGGAGCGAGGCCGGCCCTGCGTCCGGGCCTCCCCAGGAGGGAGCTGTCTTGCCTTCTTCAGCAGAGGGGGCAACGGCATAATTCTGTCCCCCTCCCACTGGCAGCCAAACTGCACACACGGGGACACTTCCCGTTTCCTGCCTCTGAGGTCGGGCGATAGCGCGGCCTCTGATTAGGCCTGGAAGAAAAAACCCGTTGTTTACGCGTTCTTCGGTCTTTTCTCTGCCCGCTGTCATGGCCGCTCAGCGACGAGGCCTGCACCAGTGGCCAGCTGGTGGTCGCCAGCCAGGAGAGCCAGTACAAGGTTTTCCACTTCCACCACGGGGGCCTGGACAAGCTGTCGGACGTGTTTCAACAGTGGAAATACTGCGCCGAGACGCACCTCAAAGACCAGGTAGGCCAGAGGCCCAACTGGGGGTTGGGAGGGGGACACCTGGCTGCTGGGACCCCCCGCCCCGGGTCCAGGACTTCCCCCGCACAGGTCTCTGCTCCCGAGCCCGAGGCCTCCCGGGTGTGACCCGTGGTCGCTGGGTGGCTGATAGAACAGCAACTTTGGTCTTGAGACATGGGTTTGAGAGGCCCAGGGCTTCTGTGAAGTCAGAGCTCGGCACTTGAAAAATCATGTTTTGACAAGGCTTCCTGCCATATTTTGCTCAATCTACATACAAATGTAATAAGAGCTCTCTAATTATCTGTTTAAGATACTGTATGTGCTTATTAGAAATGGGGCTGACTTTAAAATTCCCTGCCTTCCACAGAGCCTCCTGCTGGCTCCCCTTATTAAAGTAGCATGGCGCTTTTTTCCCCCTACATTGAACAACCTTTGATTTTTGAATTAAATGTCAGCTGCAGTTTCGCCCTGGATTCGTGACTGCCCGTGGAGACAACCTGACAGGCGGGCTCCCGCTCGCAGAACAGCGACCCCATTGTATGCGGCCAATCACGTGTAATTTATTGCAGGCCCTCCCGGCAGAGGGAAGTTGGGCCGAACGAGGCATTAATTCCGTGTTTGCGGCCGGGGTGGGAGGGAACGCGGGGGGCGGCGGCGAGGGGCACGGCGGTTGGTGGGAGTGGGCCGGCCGGGGAGCTGAGCGGCCAGGGGAAGCCGATGCTGGGATGAAGGTATTTTCATTTTAATTGCGTCTAATTACACTTGCCATTTAGGGGTTTGTGTGCAGGGGCGGGCGGTCCCCCTCCTTTCAGGAGAGAGAGAGAGTCTTTCACGTTCTGGGAAGACAGCACCGCTCCAAAGCCCAGAGTCGGGGACGCTGATCTTGCCCGTTCCCTCCTGTCCAGCAGGTCGCCGACGAAAAGACGTGCATGCGGTTCTCCATCCGTCGGCCCAAACTGCCCTCGTCCGAGACGCACCCCGAGGAGAGCATGTACAAGAGGCTGGACGTCTCCGCCTGGCTGCGCCACCTGAACGAGCTGGGCCAGGTGGAAGAGGAGTACAAGCTGCGCAAGGTGAGGCCGGGCCCTCGGGAGGGTGGCCGGCCAGCCGGGGGGAAGGGGGCCGGGCACCCTCGGGGGCCACCTCCAGGGGGGCCTGTGCCCTTGTGCGAGGAGCTGTGTGAACACGCCCGATGAAGCAATCAAAGCCGCCGGGTTGAAAAAGAAACCTCCCGAGCGGGTTTGGGGGATCCCGCGTCAGCCTGTATAGAAGGGCGCACGGTGAAATGCAGCACTTGCAAACCCGAGGATTAGGCCGCGACGTGAGAACGACACGTTAATCTGAGCGCCACCCCAGGGGGGGCATTGACATTGAAATGAGCCTGGTTTGTGTCCTGTATGGGAATGGAGGGCCGGCTCTTTCCCCTGCAAACATGTGCAAATTGCAGCGATCTGAATCAAGGCATCAGTTGTCAAGAAGGCGCAGCAGAGCCACCAAAACACACGTCTCCCGGGATTTGGGGGTGCTCTCAGCGGCCCTGTTTTGGCCCCTCCCCAACTTTCGCCGCTTCCTCCAGGCCATTTTCTTCGGCGGCATTGATGTGTCAATCCGGGGGGAGGTCTGGCCCTTCCTGCTGCGTTATTACAGCCACGAGTCCACGTCGGAGGAGAGGGAGGCCCTGCGGGTGCAGAAGCGGAAGGAGTACGCGGAGATCCAGCAGAAAAGGTGACCGCCGCCCGGCCAGCCCGCCCCCAAACCGCGGAGGGAAATGTCCTTTGAAAAGGCAATTGGAGGTGCAATTCAGCATTGATAATACGTTCCGTGACCCATAGTCTCTTTCGAAAATGGGTCTCCCAGGAACGTGAGTGATAGGGTTGGCTAAGTGCAGCCATTATCCCGAGCGCTCAGCCTCGGGACCACGGCCTCTTTAGCTGCATGTCAAGGTCTTAGAATTCGTTTTCAGAAACAGACTTAACGAGGCGCTGACATCCTACCGCTGGACGCTGGGGTGGCAGCCGGCCTCAAGGGGCCAGCCGGGAGCCCACTGCGGAGGTCTGTCTGGGCCTGGCTGACCCCAGGCCGAGGTCAGCTCTCCCCTCCCGGACGCAGGGACCCATGAGGCCAAGTCAATGTTGGGAAAGGCCTCGGACACGCACCTCCAAGTCAGCGGGGAGCTGGAGGGTTTGCAGCGGCAGCAGCACCCCAGGCCCCTTCTGGGGAGCAGGGGCTCTGCTGCAGTGTGCACAGCTCGCTGACCCCAGCGGGTGCTCTGCTCCGGGCCAGGCTCTCCATGACTCCCGAAGAGCACAGAGCCTTCTGGCGCAATGTGCAGTTCACCGTGGACAAGGATGTGGTTCGCACAGATCGGAGCAACCAGTTCTTCCGAGGCGAAGGCAATCCCAACGTGGAGAGCATGAGGTACCCGCCTCCCCTGGGCCGCACCGGTCCTCCTCGCAGAGGCCTGGGCCCAGCTCCCCGCCTCACTTCCTCACCTGCCCCTCTGTGAGCGTCCCCTTACCCCTCGGGCCTCAGCTGACCCTCTGGGAAGTGGGCAAGCAGCAGCAGCATCTGCGGGGGTTAGGGGTCAGGTGTCTTTCTTCCTTCCTTCACAATGCCCGGAAGTAGAGGATCGTTAGCTACTTCGGCAATGTCGATTGGCCTCTTATGGCCCCAGCGTCCCAGGGAAGCCCTGTAGGTCCCGCCCAAGGCTGCCAGCAAAGGCCCCCATCCTCCGGGCCTCCACCAAGACTGGCCTTGCTTGGCTCACAGCAACCATGGATGAGCCTCTGTCTCCCAGTGGGTGGTCCTCGCAGTGATAAAGCCACACTGAGCCCGGGGTTGGCATCTTTGACATTCTGCTGCTGCCTGGCAAATAATTGCACAAAATTAGCAGCCCATAAAATGTCCCTGCCAGCCCACCCTTTGTCACAGGCAGTCGGCCATTAAGAAAATGAGACCCACATTCCTCCTTCCCCTCTGCTCCAGAGGTCTGGGCATGGTGACTGGTTAATTGCAGGCCACTCAATTTCCCAAGGCTTCAGAGACAGTCCCCAGAGCTGCCCTCCTTCCCCTGAGATCGAGGCGAAGGAGGGGCATCCTGGCAGCCCAGGGTCTCCAGCCTGGGGTTCTGCTGGTGCTGGCCCGGGTGACATGCCACCAAGCAGACAGCAAGGGTGGGCTATGTTGTGGCCACTCTCCGCCAACCGCCCTGCTCTCTGCACCGTGTCGCCAGGAGGATCCTGCTGAACTACGCCGTGTACAACCCGGCCATCGGCTACTCCCAGGGCATGTCGGACCTGGTGGCACCCATCTTGGCCGAGGTCCTGGACGAATCAGACACCTTCTGGTGCTTTGTGGGTTTGATGCAGAATACCATCTTCGTCAGCTCTCCTCGGGACGAGGACATGGAGAAACAGCTGGTGAGGCTCGGGGACGTGTGGTCGAGGGCAGCCGGGAGAGAGCACGCTGCCCCCTCCCCTTGCTGCCAGGGGTCATGTGTGGTCAGCAGGCAGCAGAAAAGCCGGGTGGGCGTTGCCAGTGTAGTATGGGGGGCTTAGCCCTGGGCCTCTGGGGAAGAGTCAGCTTTCCCAGGAGGGACGCAGGCTGCTCCCAGGCCTCAGGACCCACTCTGCCATCCTCACCCCATGCTCCCTGCAGGCCGGACTGTGCAGAGTCTGCCCCTGGGGCCTCCCACCTCCCTGCTCGGAGCATCCCAGCCCAGGCTCCGTCGCAGGGTGAGGAGAGAGGGCCCATCGCAGCTGGTCCTGTGCTTTATCAGACAGGTCTTCAGGTCCGTCTGGGCTGCTCCCTGCCAGGGTCCAACACAGCCAGGGTTCCTGAGTGGGGACAGGAACCGGAAGAGCTCCTGAAGCCACCCTGGAGCCCACTGGGCGGTTGTCACACCCTACCCAGCAGGCCTTCCCTGCACGGCCTCCCCTAACCCACACAGACCAGGCAGCACTAAACGCTGGGGCGGGGACAGGCAAAGCTGGGCAAGCCGGAGCCAGGAGTGTTCACTCGTCACTCTTCACAGCACCTGTGTGTTCCAGGCACCTGCCAGGTGCCAGGTGCCGGGCTCTGTGGCCTGGTCTCAGCACCCAGTCCAGGAGAGCGCCTCAGCCTGAAAGCTGACAGCTGGGGGAGAGGATGCTGGGTGCAGGGGAGCGATACAGAAAGGGCCCTGGTGACCGAGACGGGAAGGAAGGCAGGGGGACCAGGCTGACTCCCTGTTGCGTAGGGTCTGGCCCTGGGCACTGCCAAGACTTGGCTGAGCACAGCGTTCTGGGCAGTGACACTGTGTGGCCTGGTCTTGTTGGACCAGATGCAGTGAGGGCAGAGCTGGATGCGGGGCCTCGAATGCCAGGGCCATGGACTAACTGTCATAGGGCCACTGAAGACTGGAAGGGAGAGCACAGCGGAGGGTGTGAGGACGAGGGAGCGGGAGCAGGGAGGCGTGGACTGGAACAGAGGACACCTGGGCGGGGGTGGGGAGTGTCCTGAGGGAGGGGTCAGCTGCACGCCTGGACTTGACCCTGCTGTGGGCCACAGGGTGGAGAAACTGGCCAGTTGAGAAGGATCCTCAGAATGAGTTCCTACAAGGGCCCCGTGCCACCCCAGCGGCTGTCTTGAGCAGGAACAATGGGCCACTTGTGTGGGAAGGGGCCTGTGAGTCACCGAGCCCCTGCCCCAAGATCCCCCGGCCCAGCCCGCCCACCCTCGGAGCCGCCGTGATGTCAGGTTTCCACAGTACCTGGGGAGGCAATTATGGGGTCTGACCGGATTCGGCCCTGATGGGCTCATGCAGCCCGTGGCCCGGTGACTCGTGACTGCTGGAGATTGATTTTCCGACGGCTCTGGTGAGGTCAGCAGCCCCAGCCAGGCGCTGCCAGAAATAGCCTCGATCTTGTCCCGCGTCACTGGGTGGTGACCTTAAGTGCCGGAATCGAGCGTCCTGGGGTTCAGAAACCGCCCCCCCTGCTCTAAATCGGCTCTGAAAGGTGACGGATCCCAGCCATCCGAGCGGAAAGTGGTTGGGCGGGGTTTCTGTGGATGATCCACTTGCACCCCCAGGAAGGACGGGGCGTCAGACGCAGCCCACAGGGTGCTACGCTCTGCCTTGCCCTGGGCTGTGCCACAGAATAGTCTGAAATCTGGGATAAACCAGCAGAGACAGGTGTGAGTCAAATTCAGCGGCAGGATAATATGAGCAGGCGCAGACGCACATAGCAGATAGAGACCCCGTGAACGGCTCGCCTGCTTTTCAGGGGTGGGGTGCCCAAGGAAGGGCCCTGGTGGGAGTGGGCTTCCTGGGCCGGCCGGGCGGGCCTTCGCGGGGCTGGGGTGCTGACTCGCCCCGGCCTCGCCCCCAGCTGTACCTGCGGGAGCTGCTTCGGCTGACGCACCTACGCTTCTACCAGCACCTGGTCTCGCTGGGGGAGGACGGCCTGCAGATGCTCTTCTGCCACCGCTGGCTCCTGCTGTGCTTTAAACGGGAGTTCCCTGAGGCCGAGGCGCTGCGAATCTGGGAGGCCTGCTGGGCCCACTACCAGGTGAGCCAGGGCGGGCATCGAGGGTGGGGGCCAGGACCTCGGCCCCGGAGCGACAGTCACCATCCCGTACCTGGCCCGAGGGGCCAGCGTAACTGTGCACTTCCTCTGGGGTCCCCTCTTCTGCAACTCCCGACCCCCCCACAAAACACTGCAGCCCCTCATGCAGCAACTGCCTTCTAGTCCCACGCGGCTGGCTTCCCACCTGCAACTCGCCTCCCAAGGAACTGAAATCGATGCAAATTGCCCGCTGACTACCACGTTCTGGGGCTGAGCTCGCTCCTGTCACAACCAATCAGCGTGAAAGACACTGAGGGGGCCGAGCAGGCCAGGAAGCCAGTGCCCACCCCGCCTGCCCCCATCGGGACGGCTCAGGGAAAGGGTGTGAGAGCCTGCTTCCCCATCAGCCCCTCTAGAGAGCCCAGGACCAGCCTGCGGTCCCCGCCCGGAGATGTCGATTTCCACTTGCCGTCCACCATTATCAGCATCTCCTCAACAGATTCTCCTGGGAACGTGGCTCTGGCCCCATCACATGGCTGCGACGCCCAAATTAGTGACAAGCTGGCGATGTTCAAGGATGGGCAAGTCTCTCTGAATCCATCAGCCTTTAAAAAAATAGTATTGATGCATCTGGGAGAGGGCCGGGACCCTTTCTGCGAGAGCAGGCTCCATCCTCACTGAGCAGCCCCGGCACGTTGCAGGGAGATGGGAACAGTCACCAGCCCACAGAAGTGTGCCCCCGCATTTCCCACCCTTACGGAGGTCGCTGGAGGACCGTATCTGGCAAAAGTGAGTCTGAAGAAACCCACGCTGGTGCTACACTCGGTCTTTGGAGCCATCTGTCCTGCCTGCCTCCCGCCCTCGCCGGGTCTGGCTTCACTGCCCGCCTGGATCAGCATGCTCGACGTGGACATTCAGGGTGAAATATCTGCACTGATCCAGGGAGCACTGGCATGGATGGTGCAAGACGCTGGGTTGCTTTTTGTTTTTCAAAAATCGTGTCGGCTTTGCCGGGCCTCGTTGCGTGTTTTTCATGCAACCCTCAGCCGCAGAGTTGCCGCCTCGTTACATCGTGTTTACGGAAGTGTTACAAGTGACCTCTGAGCATCACCCAACAGATGGGGCCCTTTCTCGTGGTGATTTTCATTACTGGGATCTAGCAAAAATCACAGGGTGGGGGGCCAGCCCGGTGGTGCAGTGGTTAAGTTCGCACACTCCCCTTCGGCAGCCCAGGGTTCGCCGGCTTGGATCCTGGGCGTGGACCTAGCACAGCCTATCAAGGCACACTGTGGCAGGTGTCCCACATATAAAATAGAGGAAGATGGGCATGGATGTTAGCTCAGGGCCAATCTTCCTCAAAAAAAAAAAAAAAAAAACCATCACAGTGGAGAAGCCTATTTGGCCATCTCTGTTGGCTGCCGTTTGCTTGAAGTCCACAAACCAAGTTCACGCCATTTGGGGGCTTTCGGCTAAATTTAGCCTTGATCAAATTAGTCGCTCCCGGGTGGGGAGGAGGTAGGATGACGGTGGTGGGGGCAGGCTCATTCATCAGGAGCGAGCCAGAGGGGGCGGTGGGGGGTCACTACCAGTGGTGCCTTTGACTTGTAAAGTGACCTCTGAGTGAGAAAAGCTCTATTTTATCCATTTACTACTAGTTTGCCCATGGGGGCTGGGCTGCCCTGGGCCCTGTCCAGGGAACTGAAATTAGTCCTGCCTGCCGTCCGCCTTATTTAGGACGTGCCCCACCTTTTCCTCCCCACGTTCCTCTCTGGGAGGAGCTGGACATCCTTCCTCCCGGAATCCCTCTGCTGTCTTCCCACCCTGGCCAGGGTTCAAAGAGCTGCAGAAGGATCTCCTGAGCTGCAGCAAGACCATCCTGGATTAGTTCGGAGGATGGGGCTGGCAGTCCGAGGCCCAGCGGCCTAGCGGGTGGTCTTTGCCGAGCGGGTGGGGTGGGGGGCATTTGCTCCCATAATTTGGCCCACATCGTGGGCTCCACCCTGCCCGGTTCAGGAACGCAGTTCCGCCTGGCTGGGTGGTCGACATCCAGAGACTAAACACGGGCTTCCTGGTGGTCCGTGTCCTTCCTCCTCTCCCGGAAGCGAGTGTGAATCAAAGACAGCACGCCCTCAAAGCGTCCGGGCAGGAGGGCGCACAGCACGCACCCACCCACCGGCAGGACCAGCTGTCAGCTTCCTGCTGCTCAGCCGGTGAGGCGGCCTCCAAGGAGGGCGGTGGAGTCCTCCATGGGCTCTGGAAAGACAGTTAAAGACAGCGGATGGTTCTAGCCACTCTGTGGGGACCATCAGGGAGCTTCTGCGCTCCACTCTGTTAGGCTCCTATTCCCACCTTCTTACCAACAAACCTAAGAGTCATTTCTGGGGTGCAAGTTGGGACGTTTGGCCATGAGGCAGGAGGACACTGACCAGTGGGTGGCTGCCAGAGGTTCTTTCTTGCTGGCGCGTTCCATGAGGGTTCTGACGCAGCCTTCTGCATGCACCATCACTCAAGACCTTTACGAACAAGATGTTGGCATGAGCACAGCTCAGCCTTCCGAGGAAGCGTGTTCTTTGTCCCCCTGATGGAGGGCACCCGGAGGGCTCCTCGGAAGAGTAGCAGCAGCCCACGGGGGGCCAGCACCAGCATCCTCCCTTTGGATGTAAGTACTGACATTGCCCATTTGCAGGTGGGGAAACTGAGGACGAAAGAGGCTACGCGGCTTGCCCAGGGCCACATGAACCCAGACAGACTCACCCTGGAGCCCTCACGCCGCACCTCTGCACTCAGCCTTCACCTGGAGGCAGGGCCCCGGGCTGGGTCCGGGGCCTTACCTGAAGCCCGCTCTCCACCCCCCAGACAGATTACTTCCATCTTTTCATCTGTGTGGCCATCGTGGCCATCTACGGGGACGATGTCATTGAGCAGCAGCTGGCCACCGACCAGATGCTCCTGCACTTTGGAAACCTGGCCATGCACATGAACGGGAAGCTCGTTCTCAGGAAGGTGAGCGCTTCCCCGCATGCGCCCTGCCCTTCCCATGCACAGAGCCCCGCCCCCGTATGTGCCCCGCCCCCTGCATACCCAGAGCCCTGTCCCTGCTCAGGCCCCACCCTCCGCATACACAGAGCCACGCCCACTCGTGAACCCCCCCAAGCCCCGCCCCCGTGCCCTGGGAGCTCCCCACCAAGGCGCAGGGGTCAGCACCTCTGGCAGCGCCTCGGGCTCTGCTGCTGGGCTCCTTAGGGCACCATCGCCCATCGGGTCCTGACACAAGAGCCTCCCTCGCCTCTTGGAGTGAACAAATTGCCGGGGTTGGTAGATAGGGTCCCCAACTTGGGGCCCTCACTCACAACCCAGAGCCAGGAAGACCAAGAAGGAGGCTTGGGGAGGGGTGGCCACTTCTCATCCAAGGTTAGCGGCATAAAGGGGAACTTTGCTGCCGCCCCACTTCCCAGACTCCTGCTGGAGGTGCTGCTTCTTAAAGCTCTCTGGTGGTCTCCCAGGGGCAGTGAGGAGGGGTCTGGGGGCGAGTGGTAGGGTGGACAGAAAGAGGGCTTGCAGAGGGCACTGTCCTGCACAGGTGGTGGAAACAGACCTTGCAGGGGCTGGAACAGGGAGCCCTGGGGCAGAGCAGAGGGCCAGGGCATCATAGTGGGGGCTGTCAGAGGGCATCATGGGGAACAGGGACAAGGTGGGCCTGCCGGTTGGGCAGGGGCCCTGTGCTGCCTTCGGCTGCCGTGTTCACCCTTCACAGGAAGGCCATTTGGGGAGGCTTCTTTGTCTTGAGCTATATGTGAGCCTCACTGTGAGAACCTGTGGGTTCGCTCACTGCAGCTGGACCAAGGTGCTAAGTGGGTGTGGCAGGCAGAGCCCTCGGCCCTGAGCCTGGCACATAGTGGGGCCCACAAGTGTTGGCTACCGCTGCTGTTGCCCTTTGGCCACCTGGCTGTGCCCCGCCCCTGCTCACTGCCTGTCCTCTCTCTTTGCAGGCCAGGAGTTTGCTGCATCAGTTTCGTCTCCTGCCTCGAATCCCGTGCAGCCTGCACGACTTGTGTAAGCTGTGTGGGACCGGTATGTGGGACAGTGGTTACATACCCGCTGTAGAGTGTACAGGCCACCACCCAGGGTCAGAGAGCTGTCCTTACGGGGGCACAGTGGAGATGCCTTCACCCAAGCCCCCCAGAGAGGGCAAGAAGGGCCCAAAGACACCTCGGGACGGCTTCAGTTTCCGTAGATAGGTTGGGCTCCCTGCGCTGGACGAGGGTCGAGGGGACCTCGCTGGAGGTCCTGAGCATGTTGGGGGGGGGGTGGGGATGGGCATGGAAGGGACAGGGGATGGTAGAAACGTAAGGAAAATGCCTTTGGGCACCATGAAGGGTAGCTTTTCATATTAACGACAAAAAGAGAGTCCGGAAGTGACAGAAGTGAAACCCGCAAGCCACCCAGAGAAAAGCCAGCTCCTGAAACAGGCACCAAAACACACGGCCACTCCACCTGGGGACCAGGCTGGCTGGGTCTCTCGTGGCCTGCCTTTGATGGCTCTCCACACATCCCAGGAACTCCTCCAGCGTCATTAGCACTGAACAGAGAAGCTGGGGGCTTTTCACCCTTTCCGTGTAAACATTTTATACTGCTGGTGAGTGAAGGAAAGTGCCTGCACATGAACCTGAGCCACAGGCTGTTGCAACAGTATCGGATTCCTGTCCTTTAGTTGGGGAATTTCTATGTGAGGTTCTTCGGTATTGTTTAAAGTCAACCACACTAAATACAGCAACCAGCTGGGGGCTGGGTGGGTCGAGGGATGTGTGCACGTGCACACACACAATCCTCTGGAGAGAGTCTGCAGGGTTGAAGGAAGTGATAGTGTATTAACTGACCAACCAGGACAAAGGCACCCACAAGCAGGTAGAAGGACCCCCGTGTCCTGCAGTGTCGGCCGTCTCCTGTCAACGTGGGTCTTCTATAAATCAGCTTCTCAGGGGGCTGGATGTAAGAGTGACCACAGGTCGGTAGCCAGCACTCAGGGCGCCTTCTGCTTTCTGTGTGGGAACCGGCTCTTCCCAACACGCTCTCCTTCCCCCAAAAGATTGATGTAAGCCATTTGCACAGAAAGCTGCTTTTTGCACTGGTGGGAGCAAGGAGACTTGAATCCTCCTGCACCTCCTTGTGGGGAGAAAAGTCCTTGAAGTGCTGAGAGCACCGTGGACACAGCCCTGACTGAGGCGTCTTCCTGCTGAGCTTTTCTCTGGAGAATGAACGCTGCTGGATGGGGCCACTCTAAAAAGAAGCTTATCAACAGGAAAGAGGAAGTCCACGGCCTCCTCCCTCAGCTTCTCTTCTCTCCATGAGCCCCAGTCCTCCAGCAGGCAAAGAGACTAAGGCTGGTGCTTCCCGGTCCCTCTGTCCAAAAGCCTTTTGGGGAGCCCATCCTGGAGCCCATCAGTGCTCAGCTCTTGAGGTCCTGACCGCTACAGTCCAGTGGCAGGGTCCAGGCTGGTTGGGGGTGCGCTTCTCCTCTGCTCTGCTTCTGGGAAAGGAGGATTGCCTTTCTGTGTTGGCTCCTGATCTGTTATGGAAATGGCTTGAGTTAGCCAGGCCATATGCACCCCATCCTCTAGAAACCACACCCCCATGAACAGACGTATCAGTTATCCATCGCCGCAGTAATGCCACATAACAAAAAGCCCCCAAACCTAGTAGTCTCAAACAGCACGTGCTTCTCTGGCGCATGAGTCTGCGGCTCAGCAGTTTAGGCAGGGTGGTTCCACTCTTGATTGGGCTTGCTCCTCTCTCTGGGCTCAGCTCGCTGCTAAGGCCCAGTGGGGTGCTCACCTGTGTTGAGGTCAGCCTTGGTACCGCCCTGTGTTCTTCGCATCCCTCCTGCGGGCTGCTCCCGGCCCAGGCAAAGGTGCAGGAGCAGAAGTGCACAGGCGCCTTTCCAAGCCTTGGTGGACGCCACCCCTGCCATCATTCTGGTGGCCAAAGCAGTCGCATGGCCAACTCGGCATCGAGGGGCAGGGAAGTGGACCCTCCCCTGCAGTGACAGGAGCTGCACAGTGGCCGGTGAGGGCCCGGCATTCAGGGAGGGGTGAGGACCTGGTTGGTACAGTCTGCAACTTCCACCGGGGATCTTGGTCCAAATAACATCCTTCTCTCACCCTCTCAAGCAGCAGAGCATCCACGCATTATCACTGCAATTCCTTGTGCCTTTGGGCTGCCGTTGCCGGGGGGGTGGGGGGGGTGTCCCAGGGATCCTCTCACTTTGGAGGGTCCTGGGGCATAGCATTCATTCTGGATCCCCCAGTCCCACAGCCACCCAAGACCCCGTTCCAAGTGCCCCCCCCCCCCCCCCCGCTTCACTCTCCCACCTTGCACCCCTGTGGGCTGGGCTGGGCCCCCGTGAGATCTGTGCCTCTCGGAGCAGCCAGCATCTTGGAACCCGAAGGACCCGCTGCTCTGGAGGGCATGGAGAAGGCCCGCCCCTTGCACGGCTCCCTTAATCTGGATGCAATTAGAGGAAACCAGCCAAAAACCCTGCGGCAGCTGTTGCCCCAGGATTATTCCCAGCCAGCAAAAGGCATTAGGGTGATAATTCAGTCATTAGACGTGGAGCCTGCCCACCGCCAGGGCGTGCAGATGTGGGGCAGTCAGCCTGGCGCGGCCGTCCTCCGTGATGCTGCTCATTTAACCCATTTTTTAAAATGACACATAATGTTATTGGCCGGTGTGCGTGTGCACGCATACTTAAAAGTTTCTCCCCCCCGCTGCTCTCTGTGCTGCTGTTACACGGTGTCGTTGGAGCCTCTGGGGAGAGGGCACTTGTGATGCGTAGGTGCTGGCACGGAAGAGGCAGCACGGAGGGGGCTCGCCGGCCCAGCGGGGCCCGGGAGGGCAGGGGACGCACAAGCTGGGGACACGGTGGGCTTGGGGTCTGGTTAGGTGCAGAGGGGAGCAGTGTGCTCTTCCAGAAGGTTCCAACTCAGGTCCGAGCCAGGAAGACTTGGAACTCACAAGTCTTGGGAATCAGTGTCCCTGAGCCAATTCGAGAGGGAGGGGTGGATGGGCAGGGTGGGAGGAGCCCCGCCCGCCTCTGCAGAGGAGGAGAGTCTGCAGTGCTGAGGGCATGGCTCCATCAGCAGCTCGGTCTGGGCGCATCAGCAGGCAGCACCATGTTGTCCTTTGAGTTTTCCCTAAGAGCCCCGCCTGAACCGCGCTGGCGGCAGGAGCTGAACAGGATAAAGATGCTGGTCCTGAAACTGGGGTTCCCCCTGGGCTAAGAGGCAGTAGCTGGCAGAGGTCCCCCATCTCCGACCTTGGATGGGTGGACATAGGAAATGGGGCAAAGACGGTGGACTATGGTAGGGGCCTCAGGCTCTCCCCTCGGCTTTTGTGAGGTCCCTCTGAGCTCTCTTGTCTGTTCTTGTCTGGTAGAAATAACTTAGCACAACCAGAGGCACCCACATCTAGAATATACAACTATGTACTGGGGGGCTTTGGAGAGAAGAAAAGAAAAAAGAAGATTGGCAACAGTTGTTAGCTCAGGTGCCAATCTTTAAAAAAAAAAAAAGAACGAACTTGGAGGGGGCAGCCCCCAGGGTGATGAAAATCTGCTCATGCCTGTGCCCTGCCTCTCAGAAAGCCTCCAGCTTCCATCCCGCCACCTCTCCCCCCACAGGGAGGCTGGAAGGCGTCAGGGACAGCTGGGTTCACCGAGCAAAGGGAAGGAAGCCTCTTCCCATCTGTGCCCAGCAGAGGCTCCTGAAGGCCACGCTGCCCCAGAGGAGGGAGGCCCCCCAGGAAAACCACACATGTGCGGCCTGGCCAGAGGACCCACGACTGGCCTCGAGCCACGAGGGAGCCCACAGGCCTGGCGTGAGGCTGGGCACTTCCCCCAGAGACCCCGGGGAACCAGACAGCCCCGGATCCCATTAGCCTGCGTTCCTAAGCCAGGCAGCAGGGCCCTCCTTGCAGTGAAAGCTTTCTGCCCCTTGGTGTCCTTGGCTCAGAGGGAACTGCCCAGAACGAAACAGCTCGTTTCCCCAAAGTTGTGAAGCCTGAGAACAGTGTGTGAAGGGGGAGGACACTCCCCCAGAGTCAGGGGCCTGTTTCTGTCCCACCCTGACCCTCCCGGGTCCCTGGCCCTCCCCAGCCTCCATTTCCTCGTCCATGCAATGAGAATGACGATGCCCACCCTGCCCCCCTCATAGCACGGCGGGGACTTCGTCCATGTAAAAGCGGATGTGGGGATGGTTTACCAAGCCCCAGCGACCTCACCTACCACTCAGGGAAGTGACCACTCACCTTGACCTTGACCTTGGCCTTCAGCAGCCTTGTCTGAGATGGGGTGTGCTCCAACCTCGAGAGCTCTCCCTGGTTTGAGAGTCAGCAAACCCGCTCCCTTCCACACGGCCACCTAGCTGCGTGTCCCCAGCCAAGGGGGAACCTCTCTGTGCCTCTTCTTTAAGATTCACCCCATGCCACCCCACTCCTGCCACCAAGAAGAATCAGCCATGAACCATGACCTCAGCAACCCTGCGAGGTGTGTGTCTGTGTGTACGTGGGCGTGCAAGGCTCTGCCACAGGGCCATGGTGGTGCCCTTGAGGTCTTACCTCTCAGCTGTGGAAACAGCCAAACTGGCCTCCTGGATCAGCACCGTGGAGCCCAGGAGGGGGGGGCGTCCCTGGGCCTGTGGGGAGCAGGGCGGGGGTGCAGACAGCCTGCTGTCCTCTGGCCCTTGAAACACGTCGTGCTGAATTTCTAGGTAGGAAGGTGACATTTCAGGTTCAAAGAGAGATCAAGTCACATGGCCATCTTCTCTCCAGCACCTTTGGCTTAAAGAGAACAGGTGTTTGTTGTTTAAAGAGAACACAATGAAATTTCACCACTACCAAGAGATTACTGACGTCCATGGCAAGCAATTTGTTCTCTGTATTTTGTTTTGTTTCTTAAGTCGCTTACCCACCAGTCAGGCCCTGCACGTCCTGGACTAGTCGCTGTGACCCCTGCTAGCCGTGGCCCCAACGTGCTTCCGGCTCCCATGGATTCCATCTCAAACGGAATAAAATTGTATTGACAACAAATGTATGCTCTGCGGCGTGTGGGGAGAGGGCCCGGCGGGGTGCGTTAGGTTGAAACATGACAGGTTCTGATGCTGGGCAAAGAGGGCCCCCACAGAAGAGCCAGGAGGGCCAGTGGCCCCGCAGGCCCCTCCTCCGGGAAGCCTTGCCTGCAGCCACGGCCCCGGCGGGCGCCTGGAGGGAACCGCAAGTGGCAGAAGTCCCGGAGGAAGAGCTGCTCCGGGCCTCAGGGATGGAGAGGTTGATGGGAGAATTAATGGAATGCTGGGAGAGGGCCCCGAGACCCGCCCCAGACCTGGAATCCCACATAGGGTTTTCTTGAGACTGAGCTACCAGGGCTCCAATTTCAGGAAAAGCTGAAGTCCCACATTTTGAACTTTTTTCAGGCCAACTAGGTAAATCTGACCGTGTTAGGGTTGGAAGTTTAAGGAAGAAGTCAGGCATTGGCTGTGCCCGTCTGGTTGCCTCACCAATCCCCAGGGGCCCTGCTGCATGGCCACATGCCCCAGGGATCATAGGAAGGGGGCGGAGGGGGGCTGGGGGTTGTGCCTGGTTCCCCTGGAGCACGGTGGTGGGGTGGCAGGCTCCCAGCCCTAACAGCAGTGTCTTTGGGATTGCCTTTCCATCCTTTGGCCTGCAAGGGGAGGACGGCACGTGTGCAGCTCCCCTGGATGTCTGCACCTCTGGGGATCTCACCTTGCACCTACCTGGCCTTGGCCAAGCTGTCTGAGAGCCTCATTGGCAGCTCTCGGTATGCCAGCGGGTGCTCCTGCCCAAGGCTGGCTGGGCAGGTGCCACGGGGCCAGGAGGGGCAGCAGACACAGGCAGTGCATCAGCTACCATGCATGGCTGGTGACTCCACTCAGAGAAACCTGTCTGTCCTTTCAGGGTTGGGAGGTACTCCTTCCCCATCACACCCGGAAGCCACACCCCAGCCCTAACCTGGGATCTGAAGCACCGGGGATGGTACGGTGCAGGCAGAGTCAGAGACTGGAGCTCAGGAGCGCCAGCCCTGCCATCACCACCCTCCAAGGCATGGCTACTGCAGGCAGTGTGAAGAGGGGGCGAACCCAGGGAGGAGGGCGGCGACTCGTCCTCAGGAAGGAACGGTCCTTCCCCCACAGGTCAGCCCTGCAGTGGCACGAGGCCCATCGTGACCTCCACCTCAGGCCATGGACTGGCCCCAGCCCCTCCCGGAAGGGCCTTTTAAACACTTTGGGCAGCTGGTTCCCTGGATGTGGCCCAACCAGGATGTACCAGCGGGATGTTTGTCTTTGCTCTGCTCTAGTCCCATAAATAACAACCACGTCATCATCCGCAGGGACATGCCACCCGGAGCCAGACTCTTCTGGGCAGGCCCCCAGAACGGCCAGGCTCTCTGCCGTCCTGTGGTCCTGAGGGCTGTGCCTGGGTAGGGCTCGTCTGCTGCAGTGTAGACAGGTGGTCTGTACCACTGTCTTTATACCTCTGCTAGCTGCAGGGGCTGTACCAGGAAAGTCCTTGAGAGAGTGAGCATCCTGTGCACGGCCCTGGTCCACATCGTTCATTCATTCATTCATGCATTCACTCAACAAGCATTTAGTGAGCCCCAACAGGGAGGCCTGGTACCATCGTACCATGGACCTGCTCCAGGGGACAGAGGCCGGAGCACTCCGGGTCACTGGGGTTTTGGGGGCACGCGTACACACACCCTGCAAACCCTCCACTGAGCAGAGCTGCCCTGCCGGCCCCCAGGAGTGGCCACTTGGACACCCATGGCTTTACGGCCCGTGGGGCAAACCTTGAACACCCCGTGTCTGCACAGCCTTTGGCTCCATGTCCTCTCCACTGGTGTCTCTTACTCCAGGGAGTCAGGTGAGCAAGAAATGTCACTTACCTTATGCTCTTTTTTTTTCTTTTTTTGAGGAAGATTAGCCCTGACCTAACTGCTGCCAATCCCCCTCTTTTTGCTGAGGAAGACTGGCCCTGAGCTAACATCCGTGCCCATCTTCCTCTGCTTTATATGTGGGACGCCTACCACAGCATGGCGTGCCAAGCAGTGCCATGTCCACACCCGGGATCCGAACCAGCGAACCCCGGTCCACCAAGAAATGGAACGTGCACACTTAACCACTGCGCCACTGGGCTGGCCCCAACCTTATGTTCTTCCAATGAAGTTGAAGCCCATTACGAGCCTCATCGACCCAGCTCAGTCTCCGTTATCACAGGGGTCTCTCCCTCTGTGCCCGCCCACCTGAGGGTGTGCAGGGAGCAGCGTGGGAGGGTCCCGTGCAGACGGACAGGGCGCGCTCTGCTCCTGGCTGTTGTTGCCACCCAGACGCCCTCTGTCCAAACCCCAGGAAGCCCATGAGGTCCGGCTCCTTTGTTGGCTGGGGCACTGGCACCTGGGCACACCTGCATCTCTGCCCCATCCCGTCCCACAGAGGATAAGCTGCCAGATAGTGCCCCCCGCCCCCACACACAGAGCAGGGGGGCCCTCAAGCCAGCCCCCTCGCCTCTGCTTCAATCATGCCACTTCCCTCATCTCAAGGAGCACCAGCTTTCAGAAAAGAACCCATGGGAGGCTGGCTGCAGCCCCCTCCCCCTCGGCATAACCCTCCTGGAGATAAAGGAGCACCAGGGCCTGATGAGGCCTGGGAAACCTTGTCAGGCAAAGGGCATGAGAATGGAGCCTGAATCTCTAGGGTTACCAGGCCACAGGAGTGACCTCATTGCTGAACAGGGTGCCAGCTGGCTTCCCGTGGGCACGGCCATCCGGGGACGGTCCAGACCCGCCTGGCCGCCTTCACGCCCTCTGCAGACCAGAGGACACCTGCCAGTGGCCTCACGGGCCACATTCAGATTTTGGCATTGGGACACCAGAAATCTTTGCTCCTCCTTAACTCATTCCCTCCCCCACCCTCCGCTCTCTGCCTCTCAGGAGAGTAACCAGATCGGGCTCCCGGGGCGAGGACTGTGTAATTTAGACAAAATGGTTTGAAAATATGCCATTCAGTCTCCGTATATGATAATACATCTGTCTTGACAGGTCAGATGCCACCAGCTCTTCCATCAGCAGTTTGACACTGAACAAAAGAGGGTACTTTATATTTCGAGTCGTTAGAGAGAATGACAATGATTTTCTAAGTCGATGTTTGGATGCTGAAATTAGGATGGTGCAACAGGGGCATGGTGCCACGGGCTGGGTATGGCAGCCCCTCAGGAGGCAGAAGCAGGTTCAAACCCCCCCCAACCAACGAGAGACACGTGCAGTTCAACAAAACACGAAGGCTTCCCCAAGGCCAGACACAATGGCAGCTGATAAAGTTCGTGGATTCCTTGGCTGTGAATAAGCACAATAGAGAAAGACACCCAGGGTCCTAGTGGCTCCCGGTTGATGAGCGAGGACAATGGTCTGGCATTTTTTAACAGTAGAGTCCAGCGATGGGCAAGGGCTGGAGGTCCTGGAGTGGGAGGTCCCAGCTTTGGATCAGGCTTGCCGGAGGACCGTGGCCAATGTCTGTCTGGACACCAGCTACAGGGCATGGGTGGAAGACTCGGAGAGGGATACTCAAACGGACTAAAAAGACCTCAAAAGGGTAAAGGATGGGGCCCTGTTCAAATAATGACTGAAGGATGATAAACGTTAGCAAGAGTTTATGAATTAATGAAGAGCAAGCCAAGGAGCTGTTCACTCTCCTGGTCGGGGGAGCTGGGCAGGGGCGCTCGTGGTCACATGAGGTGCTGCCACGGGGCTGGGAGAGCCACTCGAGTCGCTGACCTCGTGGTGTCCCATCCACTCTGCCTTCTAGAACTCTGTGTAGCCTCTTGCTGTGGATTTCACCCTTTGTCCCTCCTGGGGCTCCTCCCTCTGTCCAGGGCCACACGCGCAGGAGGCGGGAACGAGTGGGGGAGTTCGGGCTTTTCCCAGCAGCTCACCTGGAAGGCTGCTTTCTGACGTGAGGACTCAGTTTCCTTCTGTAAGAGGGAATCCGACTGTACTTAAACAACAACCGGCCGACCAGGAGCATCGATTGCGGGGTGGGTGGCAGGCAGGCGCCCCCAGGGCAGTTTCCAGGCATCTAGCCGCCCCTCTATTCTGCCCACCTCCTGCCCCTCTTGGGAAACTTTAGGAAACAAGTGCCAGTGACCCTTGGAGCTCTAGGGGAATCCCACCCACCTACCCAGACAGCAGGTTGGTCCTACTTGCAGGCATGTTCTGCCTTTCTCCGAAGCCCAGCGCCCTCCGCTGTCCGATCCGTCCCAGGTTCTGTCAAATGATGGTTTAGCTGGCGGTTCCTCCCAGCTCTTGAACTTACTGCTCAACTGGGCCACAGGACTGCCAGAGCCAGGCAGATAAATGGAAGTGAACTTTCAGGGCTCAGAGTCAGCCAGCCCGCAACAGAGTGGCCCGGGGCGGGGGGGTGTCCTGTACACAGGGAGGTAGGGGTGACGGTGTCTCCAACGAGGTGAGCTGCTTGCTTCGCAGGGAGACAGACACAGAACGTGGCTCTTCCACATTTTGCCAGGAATGCACCCCCTGTTGATGGGGGCAGGGTCTTTCGGGGCGGGGGCAGGGGGACCCAGGAACTGGACTCAGGTTAGTGCAGGTGGGAAGAGGAGCAGCTCCCACAGGCGTTCCTTCAGGTGCCCGCAGGTGAGACAGTGCAGCAAGGCTGGGCATTGGTCCCCCTCACCTCCAGCCTGCAGCTTCCCCCGCCCCTCCGGCTCTTCTGCATGGCCCCTCCCCAGCACCATGGCTCAAGGATTCTGCAGATTTGACAGTCCTACCAATAGGACCACTGCCCTTCCCTGGTTGTGCAGCTGCCAAGGCAGCCCCAAAGAGGTCCCAGGGTCCCCAACAAGGTGGGATGCCCCTGGGCTCTGAAAGGCTGCTACTGGTTCACCAAACTGGCCTGGCCTTCTGGGTCCCTGCATGGACCCCCACCCCCATCACAGGCCTGAAACTCACGCAGAACAGCAGGGCCTGCTTGTCGAGTAGGCTGCTGCGTCCCCAGAATCTCGTTAACAGTAGTTTCAGTTAGAAGGGACACCCCACCATAAAGTGTCCTGGTGACACGTAGGGACTCCTGTGGCTTCCACCCCCAGGGCCCTGGATGGGGACCTAAGAGACAGGACTGGAACCCCCATAGGGTGTTCTCCTTTCTAGAAAGCAAGTTCCAGAGCTTGAACTGGGGCCTGCTTGGCGTGCCCTGCTCCCCAGGCACTGGGACACCAGGTGGCCTTGGGCCAGGCTGGAGGTGGGCTGCCCCAGCCTGCTCCTCTCCTGTTCTCAGCTGTCTGATGAATTGGAGACGCAGGCCTGGCTGTGGGATTCAGCAACAGTCGCGTTTCTGCAAAGCCCGGGCTTCTCACCAGGAATTGGTCTCCCAGGAGGGAGGGGAGCAGGCTGGTGCTCACATGCCCGCCCTGGCCCACGGGCCTCTGGGAGCCCCCTGCCCACATGAGGCCTCAGGAGGCCAGGTCTCCGTGCTGCAAGCCTCACTGGGGCCCAGGGCAAAAGGAGGCGCGTGTGGGCACAGTGAGACCCCGCGTCCTCAGAAATAATCCTCCACTCTAATTCCCATTTCAGCAGGAAGAAGTCCGGGCCACTCAGATCCATCTTGTTTTCTGCAGAAGGGGCTTTGTTGCCGTTTCTTTTAATTTCACACCCAGCGGGCCGCTGCTCGGAGTGGGGAGCCCGCCCTACCCTGGGCACACACCTCCGAGCCACCTTGCACAGCTTCCCGCTCAAGTGGGGGGTGGGAGGGATACGGGGAGGGGGGTGGAGGAGAGGGGCACCCAAAACAGGAGAGGGGCTGGGGGCTTCCGGAGGGAGGGGACGCGGGGAGTGGAGGGGGCAGGACGGGTGGGGGCACTGGGCCGGGAGATGAAGGGGAAGGGGCAGCCGGCCCTCCATGCCCCCGGGGCCCCCGGATCTCATCATACCAGGTGTGCTCCAGATAAATATTAATAACTGAGTGACAGAGGGAATTTGGGAGAAACTAATTAAAAGGGCACCGTGCAGGCTGGCAGCTTTGCCAAGGAATCACTCCCGTGAAACCCAAGGGCTGGGAGACAAAACAGGCTGAGCCTCCGAGGGGGCCCTGAAGGGAGACGGAAGTCCCCATCCCTGCAGCTGCCCCCCTGCCGGAGAGCTCTGCACGCTGGCCTCTCCCAGCCCACCCACTCAGGGCAGCGCCGACAGGACACGACCAGGCCTCTGCTAGGTAGGCGCCTGGCTCTGGTGCCCTCCAAGACCCCCTATGCACCCCTGCCCCAGCCCATCACTCCCCAGCACCACCCCTGGGAGCCAGCCTGAGGCTGGGGCCCCTCGACACATCCCCCATGGTCCTAGCGCCTCCACCCCCCAGCTTGCTCAGCCTCCCCTCTGTCTGTCTGTCTGTGTCCAGCTGACATTGTCTCTTTACAAAATCTGAACGTGCACACCATGCCCCCCACCCTCCTCCAGAGGCAAAGAAAAGGGAACGTCAGGCCTCAAAAGAGCTCATGGGTACTTGGGGTTCCCTGGGGGACACTGGGGCCTCTCAGTAATGCCAGAGGGCCTGACCACCCCATCAGGACCAGGCCCCACTGTGCTGGCCTTGGGTCAAGTCCTCTTTCCAGGTCCAGAGTTGGCCCGCGCCCTACCCCCAGAGCCCGGCCAGTTTGGCGGTATGTGTCTGCCTGGTGGGTCCCTGGTAGGAGGACTTGCAGGCCTGTGGGGCCCATTGTCTCTTGAAATCCAGATTTATTTGGGTCCCTTACGTGAGCCAATGTGCTCCTCGGCCTTTGCTGGCTTGGGGTGGTCCAGCTGGAGCCGGAGGAGCTGGGCACAGGGCAGCTGCGGACGAGGACGAGGAAGGCCCTGAGCACAGCCGAGGGCCCTCCTGGACTCCAGCGTCCCACAGCCCAGCCCCCGCCCTCACCCAGGCCCCTGGCCCTGGCCCCGGCCCCTGACAGACAGACAGACTGCCTGTTGGGGCAGGCCACTCGGCTTCCGGACCTGAACAGCGGCAGCATCGGCTCTTCCTTCTGGACCGTCTGTCCAGTCCCCACTTTCTCCAGAGACTGTGTGCAGGAGACACCCGGGGGGCACCGCTGACCGTCCCCCTGGCTGGGAGGAGGCCCCCTTGGGGAGGCCCAGGGAGAGAAGTGGGGGATCACCTAGTCCCACTCCAGGCTGGGGCTCAGCCCTCCCAGCCATGTCCTCTCATCCGGAATACCCCCGCGCGATGGAGAACTCACTACCTGCCAGCAGGAGCCGCTGTTTGGGAGCACTGGGGACCTCTGCATGGACCAGGCAGGCCCGAGGGTGGGGCTCATGAATACCAGGGAAGGGGCATTTGGGACGCTTACCCTGCAGGGCCCTTTCCATCCATCACACACTCGATGCCAGATGGAGCCAGATGGGGGCGATGCTGGTTTTACCCTATGACGCAGAGGAGGAAACAGAGAGGTTAAGTAATTGGTTTAAGGTCACTGAGTCGGTAGGTGGCCAAGCCAGAACTGGTGCCCAGGACTTTCTGATTGTTCTTTCCCTGTGCTTGGACACTTTCCGGCCAAGGGCTTTGGTCCGTCCTTTCCCGAGGGAAGAGACACTCTGAGCACTGTCCAGCCGACACCTTGAGTCTCAGTTTACCTGACTCTAAACTGAGCTGCTCATTCTCTCTGGATCCTCCCTCACACCCACCCAGGGGGTGAGGGGCAGGAAGTGTGAGCTGGACTTGCTGTGTGACCTGGGGCATGAGGCCTCCCCTCTGGGCCTCTGCTGTGGGTCAGGAGGTTGGTATATGATCCCCAGCCAGAGGACAGAAGTCCCGCCTCTTAGAGGGGCCCACCTGGCCCCACTCCCTCCACTGGGACCCGAGCACCCAGCAGGGAGGGGCCAAGGACCAGTCTTAAGGTCACCCAGACTGAGGAGGCCAGGGGCTGCAGCCAGGAGCCGGCTCCCGGAGCTCCAGCCCCAGCGGGCTGGTGAGAAACCACAGAATCTCCAGGCTGGGAGCCCGTGGGGGAGAGGGACACACCCAGAATGGGATGCACCCCAGGGCTCAGTCCCGGGTGCAGGCGGAGGCAGGAGCCTGGCCCCGAGGGGCAGCTCTGGGATGGAAGGAGGGCCCTTAGCTTCAGAGCTCCCTTGAGCCAGAGAGGGCAGCTCCTGAGAAAAGGGGAAGCAAGATCAGGCCTACCTGGAGCCCAGAGGGGCTTGGGGGAAAAATGAGGACAAGGTGGGGCCGTGGGGCGTCCATTCCAAAGTAGCGGAGATGATGCCTCTCACCACCCCCGACCGCTGGTCCAGCCCTGGCCTCGCCTTGCGGGGGGGCAGTGGGGGCAGGGGAGCGTGAGCTCTGGGCTCCGTCCTGGTCCCCCCAGGTTAACGCCTCAGCTACAAAATGGGGCCCTTAGTGCCCCTCTCTCAGGGAAAATAGCAGCGACCGTGCACTGAGCACCTGTTGTACACCAAATGCCTAGTCCGGGTAAAGACGTGTTTTCAGATGAGAAACAGGCTGGAGAAGGGGGCCGCCTGGCCCAGAGGAGAGTGTCACAGATTCAGAGCCAGCGGGGTGGGCTCTTGACCACGCTCTGCCCCCTCCCACTTCACTCTCCCCACAGAGGCACCTCTCAGGACACTGTCAGGTCTGCTTCGAGGGGCCGGAAGGAAGAGACCTGGGCCAGTCTGAGAGACGGTCATCTCAAAAATCACATAGAATTTTCAGGAAGCTTGACAAGTTCCCTGATGGCCCGAGGGCCCCAAGGGAGCCGAGGAGTGTGGCGCTGGGGGGCTGGTGGCAGTGATGGAGGGTGCAGCTTCTGGGTCCTGGAAGGGTCTGCGTCCTGCATGCCATCCCCTCCCGGTGTTGCTTGGCTGCCGGGAGTCACCTCTCCCAGCCATGCTTGAACCGAGGCCCACACACTTGCCTTAAAGGGGTCCTGCATCCCAGGTGCCAGGAGGCCAGTTCAGGATCAGAACACAAAAAGGATGCTTACACTCCCTGGTCACAGGGCTCTGTGGGGTCCTCGCCCTGACTGGACAGGAGAGTTACTGGGGCACTTAAAACTGGGGTGCCTGGACCCCTCCCAGATGAGCGGGGAAATGGGGCCGGGCCCTGTCTGTTTGAAGGTCCCCTGGAGCCTGGGAGCGGATGCCCCAGCCCTGCCCTTTGAGGGGCTGCTCCCCAGTGGAGCTGGGGCTCCCTCCCTGCCCCTCCCCCTCCACCCCCACCTCCCCACACTGACCTCCGAGGCTGCAGAGATGCCCGAGCAAGGGTTCCCAGCATCCAGCACCTGGGTGCTCGACGGGGCGCAGGGAGGTACCCGCCCTCCCCCCGGGGAGGCACTGGGACCCCAGTGGAGGAGGCAGGCGGAGCACCAGGCAAGTGGGATTCCCCTGGGGCTCTCTCCACCTCCCCTCCACCCCTGCCTTTCTATTCCAGACATCACAGAAGCAGAAGCTTCCGGTTCCTTGTCGATACACAGACTCGCTGAATTTCCAAAGTGCAGGGCTGGTGTGGCCACCAGAGGCCTCACACTCATTGTGAGACAAGAAGTGGCCCAGCCGGGGCTGCCAGGCCTGCCCTGCCTGCCCGCACCCTCTGTAGCCACTGATGCGGCGCTCCTGGGGGCCCCTGCTGGACCGGGCAATGCGGGAGATGCCCAGCCCAGCTGTCACGGCATGCCCCCAACAGGAGTGGCCCCTCCTCTCATCCTCCGTGACCTCCCACAGCCCCCTCCAGCATCAGGCCCTGGTCGGCATGGAGAGTGGCACAAAGAGACAGTGGGGTTGTGGGGGCACTGGGTTTGGTTCCCACGGGGGTTCCCAGCCCATGAGCGCTCCCAGCGCAGGCCCGTTCCCAAGCAACACGGGGCTCCCTGAATGTGGACTTTGGCCCAAGGACTCCCCATGGCCAGGGAGGGGGCTGTGGTTGAACCCTGCATTCCTGCCTCTGAGGGGGCCTTTAGGAACTTGAACTCTGAACTTGAGTGCCTGCGACTGGGACCTGGGTCTACCTCCCAGAGCAGGCTTCTCCACCCATGCCCGCCACGCCTGGGACCTCCCCCAGACCCTCGCCCGGCAGCACGTCATGGCGTGGCCCTCCGTCCCCACACCCAGCTCGGTGCCCGGCCTGTAGCAACCTCACAGTGTTTGCTGGACGATAAATTAATAACAAGGGCCCTCCCTGACGCTCAGCAAATATTGTCGGAACGAAGGAACGTCACTACCAACACGCACACATGTCAGAGTACACAGACCATAAAAGAGGCTGTGACAAGTGCTGATCGGCTGATAAGATTAGAGCCCTGAGCCCACAGCCAGCTCGGCAGGTCACCGAGGGGTGCACAGGGGAGGCAAGGGGAGTTTTCTGCTTCGAGTAGAGTTTGAGAAGGTTCTCACTGCTCTCTGGAATCCTCTGTGCATCGTGGGTCCTTTGATTCCGATCCAGGCCTCTCTCACTGTGTGATCTTGGGCAAGTTGCTTAGCTTCTCTGAGTCTCACCTTGCTCACCTGTAAAACGTGGAGAGTAACAGTACCTACCTCTAACACTCGTTTCGGGAATTAAATGAAAAGCATAAAGTCACACTTAAGCTCGCCATGTCTGCCCGGCCTGTTGGAAGCCCTCAGGTCGTAGTCGTGTCGTTAGGGTCCGCCTCGCGTGGAGCGCACGGCTGCGGGAGAGAGCAGGGTGGAACGAGCCTTCCCCTGCCTTAGCTCGTCCGTCCCAGCTCTGCAGCCCTGCACGAGCCCCGAGTCACACACGGCTCCGTCTCTGGGCCTTGCCCGGGGCCCCGTGCCTGCCCCGAGGCAGGTGTGAGAGGGAAAGACCAGGGGACAGGAGACAGCGTTTTGGCTGAGCTCTCTGGCCACTGCTTGTCCAGCCCCCATGGCACCCTGCAGGCGGGCACTCCGGGACCGGTTTGCAGATGAGCAAATGGAGGCACAGAGTTTGTGCAACGTGCTACAGTCACTGGCCTGACTGGCCAGCTCGAGGGAATTAGGGGGGTGGACACAGAGCGGCAGAGAGGATGGTGTCTCCAGGATGGGAAGGCCCTCTGGGCCCGAGGTTGCTGCGAACAGTGCCCAGCCCCCTTGGTCAGGGAGGGACCACCATGGCACTCGGGTCTCCTACCCCATGGTGGCACTGGGGCCTGGGCCGCAGGGACCCTGCTCTCACTATGGGAGTGAGGGGCCCAGGAAGCCAGCGTCCGCGGCTGTGACCTCGAGCTGGGCAGCGGGCCAAGGCCTCCCGTGGAGGCTCGTAGGATCTGTGTCTCTTGTTGGGCTCATTCTCAGCCGTCAGAGCATCGTCACTGTGGCGCCTTGGCCTCAGCGGGCTGGGGGAGGTGGTGGCAGGGAAGTGGGGGGCTCCCTGGAGCCCCATGGAGGTTTAGGGGGGTTGTCGGAGGAGGGCTACTGCCTTAGGAAGGCCTCATGTCCCTGGGGGAGGGCCAGGGAAGCCGGGCCAGGGCTATGTCCTGGGGGAGGGACTCAGAGACACCGTGGGTGACAGACCAGCTGGCCAGGAGCCACTGTGCTGGGGGAGGGGCATTGGGGCCCTAAGCTGGGGAGGCTGGAGGGCTGATGCCACAGGCTTGACTGGCAGTGCCCTCCCTACCCCCACAAAAGCCCTACCCACAGTGACTCACCTGGGGGTCCCCCGTGCTGTGGCAGTGGTCCAGGGACCCCAGCTGCTGCTTGCTCCCAGCGAGTGGCTTGTGCCTGTTGGGGAAGAGCCAGGGGCCAGGCGTGATGCAATGGCAAGAGCACCAGATCGAGAGTAAAGGGGCTCCTGACTTTCTGGGCCACAGCTGTTAGTCTATGCCATGAGGGGCTTGGGCTGAAGTGACTGCTTTTTGGGCCCCTAAACGTCACGAGGACCCAGCCAAGCATTCTCAATTATTATTCCCAGTGGCTATACAGGGTGGGGCTGTGATTATCTCCATTTTCTAGATTAGGAAACTGAGGCACAGAAAGGTTAAGTCACCTGCGTGAGGTCACACAGCTGCTTAGTGACAGACCAGATTCAAACCCCCGCAGCCTGGCCCAGAGCCTGCACTCTGACCAGAGCCAGGTCACCCAGTTCCTCCAACCGTCGTCTTCTGCCCTCTAGGCTACTAATGCCGACTGGAGGATGACAGCTCAAGGACAGGTGTCCCTAGGAAAGATTGGCCAAAACTAGGTCTCAGGCGCCGGCGGAGGGGCGGGTCCCACTAGAGAGCACTGAGCAGGGAGCCGGGAGGTAGCTTGGCCCCCACTGTCCCCTGGCCTGGGCCCTCTGATAAGGTCAGATGATGTCCCAAAGGAGAGAATGCGGGAATCAACAACTGGAAATGACCCAGGAAGCTCAAGGCCGGTAGTAGTCCTCCCCACAAACCCACGACAGCCTTCTGGCACAAACAGGAGGCAGCGGAACGTGATGAGAAACAGGGAAGAAAACATACAGCTCTGGTTCACATCCTGGCATTTTGTGCCCATCTGCCTGCCTCAGTTTCCCCGCCCATCCAGGTCAGGGGAAGTTAACACCTTCTGCACAGGGTGGGTGTGAGGGGTCAGTGAGATAATCGAGGTAAACAGAGCAGTTCGCACAGCCCTGGCGCCGGGCAGACGCTCCCCAGCCCACAGCTGCTTTAGAGAACTTCCTCGGAACCCTCGAGAGGAAGCCAGCTCGGACGCCCTGGCCCGTGGAGCGAGGGCGACACGGGGTCTGTCGAGCCAGGCCCCCCTTCCTGGGAGCCCTGTGGAGGGGGACTCAAGGGACATGCATGCCCCTCGCAGAGGGGTTGGTGGGCCCAGAGGCCCAGCAGAGGCCCTGGCGTGCCTGGAGGGGCTGCTCCCCGCTCACTGGGCTATCTCTCGGCCTTGAACTTTCTATTCTGTTTTGCAATCCGTTCAGAAAGTGGCGTTTCTGGCCTCCCTTCTTATCGCGGGGAACTTCTAACACGACAATAGCTGATTGTACTGCTCCCCTGGGTGCGGCTGAATTCCGGGGCCCCCCCAATGCACACCTTTTCATTTTTTTTGGTAGCTCTGGAACTATAATGACCCCATTGTGATTGGTCTGTGCGGTGACAGTGTGACCCTTGAGTCCAGAAGCATGAAAGGCGGTGGGGGGCCGGGAAGAAGGGGGCAGAGGAGGACAGTGCTTCATCCCACTCTGCCTTCCCCACCCGGCCCACGGCACCGGGGCCTGTCGCGATCTGAGAGCGACGGGAGGGCGCTATTCTACAGAAGTCACCTGGAGAGAGCATTGCTGGATGGGCTGGATTTGAAAAGCTGTAGCTATCTGTCGAAACACCAATGGTTTGTGTTTTTTTTTCAATTATTAAGAGATAAAATAGGTTCATCATTTTCACGCCCTCCGAGAGCCTGGCCAGTAGGACTCGAGCTGCCAAACGAAGGTGATACAGACTCATCTGGACGTAAAGAAGCCACGGGCTGTCAGACACCTACCATTGGTTGACGAGAGCTGTGGGGAGCCTTTCGGAGACCAGGGTCAGGACAGGCCCAATCCCTGGCCAGGGTGGCTCTGTGGCCCTGGGTGCACTGGCTCTCCGAGGCTCCTGGTAAATAGGGCTGGGGGGGAGCCCTGCCTGCCAGGAGAAGCCCTCTGTCCACATGTAGGTTTGGGCCGCTGGTGGGAGCATCTGGACTGGGCCTCTGGTTGGCCAGCCCGGGCCCCCTGGGAGAGGGCCCCTGTCCAGCACTCTGACTGCCACCTGCTACCATGGTCCCCTCAGCCCAGGGGACTTCCTGCCTCACCTGGGCTCCTGAGAAAACCCCGGAGGCCTTTCTCACAATGTTCACAGGCAGTGGCTGCTCATTCAGAAGGACTTGGCAGCGGCTCCAGCGGCTGCAACCGGGAAGCAGATCGAGTTCTGCAGCCTGGAAGCCAGGCGCCCTGGCATTGCTGCCAGGCCTGGACTCTGGGACCTGCCACTTTGTGGGGACCTCTGGCAGGCCTCCTGCCACCCTGCCCCTCGGGGCCTCTGTCTGCAAAGTGGCCCCTCCCAGCCTAACACTCCCTTGGCCAGCCGGTCCAGGTAATTGGGGACATGGTTCCTGTGCCTAGGACAGAGCACAGGCTCATGAACGGGCATCACCATCATCCTTAAAGAAACAAATAGGCATAACGGCACTGGTGTGTGCTGTCTTCTGGGTGTTTCAAATGCTTCGTCCTGTTCGGCCTTCCCCACCCGGCCCGGCGGGGAGAAGGGGGGCCCTGCAAGTCCCTGGTCAGTTTCCTGGCCAGTTTCCCTGCAGGGGCTGAATCTGGCTGCCTAGCTGACCCCAGGGCCCGTGTGCCACAGTGGCCCACTGGTCCCAGGCTTTATCTCTGCTCTGAGACCCCGTCTTATCCCAGGACGGTGGCTCCCCAAGGCCCATGGACAAAACTTGGATGTCAGAAGAGAGAGCTCGCCCAATGCCGCCTTCCAGAGTGGCAGGGCAGCCCTGCCCAGCAGGGGGCCTCCAAGGACATGGGCTCCTGGTGGACACAGCCTTAGAGAGCTGGAGAGAGGCAGCCAGGCTGGGAGGGACCCACGTCAGGGACGTTAAGAGCCCACTGGGGTGGGGGCCGGGAGCAGTGTCCGCATGCGTGCTGGCCTGTCCTGCAGAGAGGGGACAAGGCTTGCTCTTCCAAGGGCAGGGCGAGCAATCTAGAACTCAACAAGGACTTCCCTGGATTCAGGCCAAGAGAGGACTTTCTGGTAGGTAAAGTGGCCCTGTGGGGGAACAATTAGCTGTCTCTTGTACAGTGCAAGGAAGCCTGGAGGGGGCGCTGGTCAGTAGGCTCAGGGTCTCCCAGACGACCTTTGAAGCCTTGAGAAAATCCCAAAGTTCTGGGAGCTCAGCTCAGATCTCGAGGTGGGGGACTCAGGCCAAGGGAGGGCCAGGGGCTGCGGGAGCTCCCAGGGACCCAAGAGAATCCAGAAGTGCACATGTGGGGGTCCCGTCTGGCAGGGAGCCAGGGCACCTTGCCCCACATGTTGTGGACAGAGCCACGAGCCACCCTGCAGAGCCACTGGGCAGAGCCAGATGGGACGAGGTTGTGGCCTGGCTGAGGACACAGACTTTACAGAAGTGACTAGAAATGACTAAAGGTCCCAGCCAAGTGCAGACAGCACGCCAACACTGACCAGACCGTGGTGGTGGGAGGGGCCATCGGAGCAGGTGGGTTCAGCTAGGATGGCTTCCTGGGAGAGGTGGCTCTCCTGAGGCCATACCTCCCCTAGGAGAGCAGAGGCAGGCTGCTTTGCTGGGACACCAGAGCGGGCAGGTCACCCACCCTCTTGCCAAACAGGTGGCAGAAAAACCTAAGCCATTTTTAAAAAAAAGAATTTATTGAAGTGAAGTTCACAGAACGTAAAGTTAGCCACGTCAAAGCAAACGATTCAGTAGCATTTAGTACATTCACGATGCTGTGCAACCACCGCCACTATCTAGTTCCAGAGCATTCTCACTGCCCAGAAGGAAACCCCATACCTATTAAGCAGTTTCTCCCTGTTCCCCGCCCCCAGCCCCTGGCGACCACCAATCTGCCTTCTGCACCTGTGGATTTGCCAATTTTGGATATTTCTTATCCTAAGCCATTTTTAAAAGAGCAAAACGCAGACATTTGGGGTCTAGTCCCCCGCGTGTATCCAGCCATGTGGGCTCGAGCACAGTACTGTAGTGCCCTGTGTCGGTTTCCCCATCTGTAAAATGGGTGTAAGAAGCCTCATAATAGGGTCGTCGTGGGGATGGGGCGGGCGTCCACGCCAAGTGCTGAGTGTGGGGTCTGCCCTGGAAGGCGTGCTGCATTTTAGCTGCTGTTGTCACAGGCATCAGACGTCAAGACGATATGGGACAAGGACAGCTGGGGGCCTGGAACGGCAGACCTGGTTCCCCACTGGGCACAGCTCATGCGTATCATCCCAGGCAGGTCACATAACTGTTTGGATCTGCAACTGCTCTTTCCCACTTTGGTGACATTGGGTCTCAGTTTCCCATCCGGAATGGCACTATGGAACGGCCTCACTGTGTTGGAGGGGGGTGGGGCCTGGCATTGTGTTGGGGGGTGGGGGGATGCTCAGGAAGGAGTATTCTGCCCCCCAACAGGGATGCAGTGGGGACCAGCGCAGCCTTGAGAGGAAAAGTTTGGAAGGGGTGACAGTGGGCAGGTGCCCAAGGTCACAATGATGGGGGATTTGCAGGACTGAGGGCCAGGGCTGAGAGCAGGCATGTGGGGCCCCAGCTCTTCCAGCGTGTCTCTTTGCAGCCGAGCTTTTGAACAAGGGGCTGGATGCTTGTTGTCCTGGCCGCCCTTTGCAGCTGATCCATCAGCTGGGCTGTTACTGTCCGGAGCCGCCAGTGGCCATCAACGCGTCAGGCCCCCCCTTCTGCAAGTCGCCCGAGTTTTATGTTGTAAGAACACTGTGGGGCATCTCAAACACCCTGCTAATGACAGGCATCATGGAGCAATAAAAGTGATGGCGCTGGTGGGAGAGGGCTGGCGGGAAAGGCGGGGCCGCCGGTCCCCGGCTCCCTCGGCGGTGGCGGCAGGAGCTCTCCGAGAATTGATTAGTCCTGGACGTGCTGACCTTTTTGTTCTTGAAAAATTGCTTTTGAGCAGCTGAGGCAATAAAAGTAAATTGATTCAGAGAGAAGGAGGATGAAATTTGCGTTAGGCGGGAGGGGCAGATAAACGCCCCGTGACGTCAGCACTCACCCCCCCCTCCTCCCCCAGCCCCAACCCCTGGGCGACAGAGGGCGGCACCTGAGAAGCGGGCAGGGCGGGGCCGGCGGGAGAGCAGGCCGGGCCGGGGCCTGGGACACACCCATCAGGGCTTCACCAAACAGAGAAACGAAACTGATAGTGAGAAAGGGAGGGAGAGGAAAGAAAATGAAGTGGGAGTGTGGGGAGTAAGGGGGCAAAAAAGAGAACGCCAGGCGGGGGTGGCGGGGGGGGGGGGGGGGGGCGGAGAGGAGAAGCGAGGGGGTGGGGCTAGAGCGGAAGAAGGCTGGGAGGACCTGAAGGGACCAGGAGGAGAGGGGGCATGAGATGAACCACCCCAGGATCCCTCCTGAGCACAGCACGTGCCCCACCACTGCTTTCATCCCCACGAAGCCTTATTTTTGTCCTCATTTTAGAGACTGAGGAAACTGAGACCCAGGGAGGTCAAGTCACCTGCTCAAGGTCATCCAGCTGGGAGGTGGTAATGCCCGATGGAGCTCCTCTGAGGCCAGGCTGGGGGTTCCAGAGGGTGGATCCTTTCCTGAGCCACTGTCAGGCCCCCAAACACGCACTGAGGGGTTACATGGGCCTAACAAGTCTCACTAACCCCTGGTGGGGGGGCGGCCCATGTCCAGATGAGAGGCTCAGAGAAGACCAGCATGCCCCAAGGCTGCCAAGCATGGAGTGGTGGCACCGGCACTCTGCCACCTGCGGTCACAACCTGTGCACTCTTCCCAGTGCCTGGACCGGGCCCTTGGGGAAATGATATGGGTTGGGGTCTGTGAAAGCAAGAGCTGAATTTGCAGGTGCGCAAGATGCGCTGCTGAGCTGGACCCGGCCGCTGGTCCAGGAGAGGGGTGGACCGTGATTCACCCCTCTAGCTCCCAGATGCCCCTCTTCCCAGGGTCCTGGCACAGGCTGTCTTCCTGTTCACCGACCACAATCTGGGTTTGGGTTTGGGGGTTTGAGATGTGGAATCCTGTGGCTTTTCTGTTGGAGCGTGTGGCCTCAAGCGGTGACTAAACATCAAATCAGGCCAGTGCAGGAAGTGGTTGATGTTGCCCTAGAACGCAGGCACCCCAAGCGGAAAAATGCAACCCTGCCCAGCTCTGTGGGTGATCCTGGGGGCCTCTGGGAGGCAGGTCCTCGCCGCTGCCCTCTGCCCCCAGAGGGACCAGCCGGGAGTTGGACCTCACCTTAGACATCCAGGATCCCACACCCTGACACTGCTCCCTCCTCCACGGGCACAGCACCCGGCTGGCGCAATCGTCTGCCACTCACCAGGCCCTGGCACCTGCGGCCCCTCCTCCTCACCTAGCCTCAGGAGGAGGCCTGGAGGCTTTGCTGCCTCGATTTCCCGGGGAGGAAGGAGCTTGCCAGGGTCCCAGTGAGGCCTGCGTTTCCTGCCTCCCTCTGTGCCGCGCGTGGCCGCCCAGGTGCCCTGCCCCCGCGAGCAGCTCCTGCGAGCGGCCACCCCGGCTCCGGCTCCGGAGCTGACTATGCAGGTTCCCCGCTGCCATAGGCACCCCCAGCCCGGGCGGGGGGGTGGGGCGCGCTGCGCTGAGCTGAGCTGCAGGGTTCCCCCTCCCCGTTCCTCCCCCTCGGGGCTCCCCGGGGCGCGGCGGGCCTGGGGCGCGCGGGTTGCCCGGCGACCGCGCCGTTGCCAGTGGAGACGCACACGCACACGCCCCCCTCCCGCCCCCCCCCCCGGGGCGGCCGAACCCAGGCGGCGGCCCCGGTGTCTGTGTAATGGGCGCCGGCGGGCGGGGGCTGCAAGGAGAGACCTCCTGGGGACTCCTCGAACCTTCCCGGCCCCCAGCGGCCTCTCGCCCTCACCCCACAGTCGGGGGCCCGGAGAAGGCGGGCCGCCCACCCTGGCGCCTCCCGCGGGGCGCAGACCCCTCCCCACGGCCACCTCCTTGAGCGAGCGCAGGAGAAGAGAAGGCGGTGGTGACTCCGCGCTTCCCGGCCGGCTGCCCTCCTCCCTGGCTGTTTGCCTCCAGGGATCCCAGGAAGGTGGAAAGGGGAGTTATTCACGGAGATCGGCTGTTTCCTTACAGGAAAACTGAGGCTCGCGGTGGTTGGGTAACTTTCCCGAGGTCTTGCTGCTAGCGACCGGGCAGCGCGGGGGTTCGAACCCAGGCTGCTTGGCGCCCAGTTCTGGCTGCTCCTTATGCTGCCCACTGGTTCCTTGGCTTGGTGGGTGACCCTGGGCGGGGCTCTCGCCCTCTCCGGCCGCCCTCTCCCGGCCGTAAAGAGAGGCGGTTCCTGGATCCAGGAGCTGTGCTTAGGGTGCAGGCCTGGGCCTGGCGCAGGGCCGGGAAGCCACTGTTGGCCCCGCCTCCGAGAGAGGTCCTGGCACTGCCAGAGCATGAGTAAGGCCTGGCACGGCGCCGCGGGAGGGTGTGCAGAGGTCAGCCCAGCGGGCTTTGCAGGCTGCGTTCCTGGGATCGGCTGCCAGGTGCAGCCAGGAGGTTCCACCAGGGCCCCGGGCTGTTTCACTTCCCCAGGAGCAGGGGCAACTGGGGGGGTGGGGGGGCGGCGCCCCTGTGTGCCTAGCCCCTGGATGGTGAACTCTGGAAACAGGGGGCCCAGCCAGCCACGTACTGGAGCTGAGAGCAGGGCGTCTCCTGAGGGCACATTGGAGCCCTTAGTCCTCCTCCCCCTGAAGACCCGGCCCAGGGGAGCTGGCAGAGGCTGCCATGGCAGGTCCCCTCCCCTGTCCTGAATGGCCATCCCAGCCTGTGGCATCCACCTCTAGGGGCTACAGCGAAATCCTCGCGTGGGTAGGTTCAGAAAGCCCCCGGGAGTCCAGTGCCCACAAGTACGGATGAAGATCTGCCCAGTCCCCAGCCCGCGGTTATTCGTACATCAAAGATTCCTTCCACCGCTTCCAGCCCTCTCCATACTGCTGTCATAGAATGCAAATTCCTCTCAGACTTTTTGGGAATTCAGAGTGGGTCTGTCTTTATCGGATGCTGAAAGTGCCACTGTCTTGCAAGCAGGCCTGTGACTATCTATGACTTTAAATGGCCCCCTTCTGGGAAAAGTAGGCCACCTCTGATCTAGAGAATGGACCCACCACCACCACCCAGATTTGTCTCTCTCCCCAGCGCCCTAGGTTGGCAGAAAAGGAGAGCCTTCCCGGTAGGGTCACCCTGACTCAGCCCTATGGTGGCCCATGGGTCATCCGCTCACCACGTGTGCTGGCTGGGCTGGACCCTGGCCACACAGCATGTGGAGGGGAGGTGTCAGGAGCACTAATGACACAGATCAACTGCCCAGTACAAGGATGCAAAGGGAGGCATGAACCCACTCTGTGGGGGCAAGCAAGGGACAGGGGCACCCATGAAAGCTTTGGGGAAGCAAGTCTTTTGACCTGGGCTGGAATAGACAGGATTTCCAAAGTGGGTGGTGGGGATGGACTCTGTCCCCATGGCAAGGTCTGGCAGGAGCAAGCAGGTAAGAGCACTCAGGGTGTGTCCTGGTAACAACCCAAGTGTCCATCAGCAGATGATGGATAACGTGTGTCCGTACAGCAGAGTATTATTCACCCATAAAAAGGAATGACGTGCTGATGTGTGCAACAGCATGAATGAGTCACTGCTAGTGAGAGAGACCAGACACGCAACTCCACACTTCATATGATTCTATTTCTGGGCTGGCAGCTCCTGGCTTCACCTGTCCTCGCCCCCCCCTCCCCCCGCCCCCCACAGCAGCATCTAGGCAAATGCCTTTCCACAGCGGGTCAGTGACACACGGAGCATTTGCAAAGGAAGGGACCTTCCAGGGACCCTGAGCAGCGTCCAGCCAGAGAGTAGGGGGATCTGCGCCCAGGGCCAGAGCTGCCCCCTGACCCCGATCTGCAGGAGGGAAGATGACACAGAACCCCAAAGGTCTCAGCTGCACTTCCCACAGACCCGCTGGTACAGAGTCCCCTGGGAACCAGCCTTTTGGGGACATCCACAGTGGTCCACCATGGCTGGGAATATGTGGGAAAGTGCCTTTTAGAATCAGGTGACAAGACCCGTGAAAACCCCACTCCTGTTGCCGGGCAGCTCAGCCCAGCTTTGTCTTGGCTTGGGTTTGATCATACGGTAAATTCTCCTTCCAGGCTACATGGCTCACCTTTTCCACCTGATCCGGGTGTCTCCGTCCAGTAATCATCTCCCACGTCAGCAAATGAAGAGTCCCTGTCAGAAAGGCCGTCCTGGGAGCATTCTGTCGGGTTCTGGAAGAGGAGCGGTAGACCCATCCCGAGCGTGGGCTTCCTGTAGGCAGGGCACCTCCTGCTGGAGAGGCGACAGCCCAGGTCTGTGTGTTGTCATTCAACATTCGTTGACCCCCGCTATGGGCCAATACTGACAGCACTAGGGGTACCAGCATGAGCCAAGGAGGGGATCCCTGTCCTCTGGAGAAAAGCGAGTGACATCACACTCTTCCACTGAGCCCCTGTGCTGGGTACCAAGACAGGGGAGGGCGCTGCGCATTCCGCCTCATCTTTTATAATCCCACCAGGAGATCTTCCAGTGGCTGCGCACGGCTGGGTGGTCCTCCCAAAGCCCAGTAATGCTCGAGACAAGCGAAATACCCAACAAAGAAACACGGTGCATCCGCAGATCGGAACACTGCGCGCCCGTTTAATATGGAGTTTCAAAAAATACCAAGGATCCGAAGGACCTTTGGGTGACTCCGTTTGTACGGAATGTCCGGAATAGACAAATCTACAGAGACAAACAGAAGATGGGTGGTTGCGTAGGGCTGGGGGAGGGAGGGAGGTGGGGAGTGACTGCTAATGGGTACAGGGTTCTTTTGGGGCAACGAAAATGTTCTGGAAGTAGATTACGGTAATGAGCGCACAACTCTGTAAATTCGCTGAAACCATTGAATTGCACACTTTCACACGGGAGAATTTCTGGTATATTGATTATATCTCAGTAAAGCTGTTAGAGATTTTAGGTCTCCTGGGGAAATGTTCCTCATGCTTCTAACCAGTCTGTGTGTCTGATTTCATCTTTATAAAACAGTCTGTGCACGGCTGCGTGTGGTGAGAAGACCAGAAGGAAATACACCAAAACGTTAGCAGTGGCTCTGTCTGGGTGAAGGAATCAGAGAAGGCTTTATTTTTCATGCAAAAACAGCCAGGGGGCAGGATCCGTCTAGAGTTGGGGGTGATGCCGAGGCCCCACAGCCGAGCCCCTGGACCAGCCCATCCCTGCCCAAGGCGCCCCTGTGACTCACGGCAGAGGCCTCCTGCATCAGGCAGCCAGAGGTCAGCTCCTCCCTGGGGAGGGAATGCTGCAGGGCCGGCAGGGGCGGCAGGTGAGGCGGGCACGCAGGTGTGGCAGGCAGGCTGGCCTGTGGGCCCCGCTCCGCCTGCGGCTTGGCTGCTTCCCCTCAAGGCAAACAGGTGGGAGAGGTCAGGCAGGAGACCAGCGTGATGACCTCGCCAGGGAGGCAGGCTGGGTACCCTTCCTTCATTCCCGAGGAGAGAGGTCACCCTGGGTGCCCCAGCCTGCCCTGGTGGCATTGCCCAGCAGCAGAGCTGGTGGCTTGCTCATGACCCTGGTCCAGTAAGGAGTCCACTGGGCCCTGGCCGGACTCTCACTCCAGACCCCAGCAAACCTTCAGCCCCCTGAGTCTCCGTTTTGAGCAGCCATATCTCAGTGCTTTGCAAAGGAGCTGGCTCAATAAATACTGGTGGACGAATGGCTGAATGAATGAGGTGGGACGGTGGACCTGCACCGGCTGGCAGGAGGTGTACACGGCCTTGTAAGGAAAAGTGCCCGGGAGCAGGGTCAGCACCACGGGCACCGCCTGAGTCACTTGGTTATTCCTGGCCACGGAGGACATCCAAGGCGGGTGTGGGGCTGAGCGAGGGGCCACCTGGCCGCCCAGGGGCTCAACGTTCAGCTTTGGAGGGAGTGGAGCAGGGGTGTCTGGGGCCCGGGTCGGAGGTTTTCAGAGGGCATCTGGGGTGGGCCAGGGGTCGGTGTCCAAATCGGGGCCTGAGTCCTGCTCACAGGGATGCACAAGCTGGTGTCTTGGTCTGCTCAGCGCCGTGCAGCTGTTCGGCGAGCCCTTCCTCAGGCCCAGACTGACGCAGGGGACAAGGATGTGACCATGAATAAGGAGCCACAATTAGCCCTCCCTTCCACTACCCCAGTGCTGGCCCGGCTGGCGCACGGGGAGGAAGGGCAGCCTGGCTGCCCCTGCAGAGCCCAAGGGAGCCCAGGAGATCACAGGTGCTGCCGGCTGCAAGGCGCTGGCCCAGGGAGGCCCAGTCAATGGGAAGCTCACGGCATAGACAGCCCACAGGCTCCCCTCAGCACGGAGAGGCCACTGGAGGGAGTGACAGATGCCAGAAACCCCAGTTCATATCTTCACTCTGCCTCTTTCTAGCTGTGTGGTCTCAGGCAAGTTACCACACCTCTCTGAGCCTTGGTCTCCTCCACTGTAAGAGGAAGTTAAAAATACTGTGTCCCAGAGTCCATGCAGGGCTCAGTGCAATAAAAAATGTATGCAAAGTGCTTGGCATGTAGTCTGTGCTTAACAAGAGACAGCTGTTATTATCCTTCTGACGTTACGATAATTAATAGAATTAATATTAATATGATCATCAATATTACTGTCCAGTTTTAATATCTCTGGTCCCAAGACAAGATCTGTCCCCCGCACCCACCTCTCGGTCGTTCATCCTCCTCCCCCATCCTGTATACTTCACCCTGGCAACTGAGGGTATTTCAAGCTATTTCTCACAGATCTGAAAGGTTTTGCCCCAAAATCCTTTCTGACTTTACAGAAACTCCCAGTGCCCCCTCTGCCTCATTCACAAATTTGTTCACTTGCTTTGTGGCTGTGGCTGCCCCTCCCTGGCTTGGCGGCCTATGGAGTGGCCCTCACCCGTGCTTGGCGGCTGGCACCTTCCCCGGTCAGCAGGGGCCCAGGGCAGGGCCGGCGAGGGAGGGGTGCTCTGGGCTCTGTCCCGGGGCCTCTTACACCCCCGCAAAGCCCAGCAGGCGGGAGGGGGCTGAGGGAGGGGCCCCAGGGAGAGGAGGAGGACAGAGGAATCTCGCCCTGCCAGGTCAGCCTGTCTATTTTTAATCTCTTCCCAAAAGGGGCCAGGACGGCAGCCCAGTGGCTGTCGCTCAGCACAGCTGTGGTCCCCAGAGGATCTAGTGTCTTCGGGAAATTGGACTCAGGCTGGGGATGCTCAGAGGCCCTCAGCCCCCAAGGAGGGCCCAAACCGGGGGAGGATCCTGGCCTCTGGAGTCGGACAGACCTGCCTGAGCCGAGAATGGGGCAGGGGCTCTGCCTCTGGAGACCCCGGCTTGCCCTCTGTAGAAGGGACGGGATGACCCCTGGCCTGGGGAAAGGGAGGCAGGCGACCCGCAGGAAGGCTTCTGGGCAGAGAGCAGGCCGGTCAGGCTGACAGCCCATGGCCTTCTAGAAAGGGCTCACCCTGGGGAGGGCGCTCTGAGGCCATGGTGGGTGGGCACGGCCACGGTTCAGGGGTCAACACACTGATTTGCTCAGAAAAGCAAAGGCCCTGAGGCCTGACCTGTGAGGCCGGGGAGCTTCATGGACGGGAGCCGAGTGCCGGGTGGTGGTCGTCCAGCTCCCCCTTTGGGAAAAGGGGGCTGCTTTCCCAGCAGACGGCCCTTGGCTGTCAGCCCCCTTGTGGGGCTCCCTCAGTGGGAGACAGGCTTCAGCCAGGGGCCATCCCTCCTGGGGCCGTGGGCGTCCGCTGACCAGTGAGGCAGGCATATGAAACCCCTGCGCTCCCCACCCACCTGCAGCCAGCGCCGAGGGCCACCCATCTGCAGAGCCCCCCCAAGGCCACCCTGAAGCTCGGCTCCCCCACTCCTGTTCTGTCCTCAGGTGAGATCCCGAAACTACTCCGCCTCCGCCCTCCAGTGTCCCACTGAGTCTGCCGCCAGGGCGCCCACCCTGCGAATGAAGGAGGAGGGGCAGGTGGCAGGGTCGTCGGAGCCCCCCCTCAGGCCTGAGAAGAACTGATGCAGATGCCTGCCTCAGTTTCCCCAGCAACACAATCCACCTACAGAACGTCCGTAACAGATTGAGTAGTGTTTACCCAGAACCTCAGAAAAGGGGGAACCAGGGGCCTTGCAGGGGCAGTTGGGTGAGGATCTGGGGTTGAGATCCCCCTGGACTTGGGGTGCCCCAAGTTGGATGGCTGGTGTCCTATATGAAGGAGAGGAGAGGACCGACAGAGACACATGGGCAGAGGCTGCGGAAAGACGGAGGCAGAGATGGGAGCAAGGCAGCTGCGAGCCAGGGCTGCCAGGGGTTGGCCGCACCCGTGAAGCTGAGATGCTCCTGCAGAGCCTGGCCCTCCGGCTTCCGGCCTCCAGGCTGAGCGTGCACCTTCCTGCTCGCTTGTTACGCAGCCACAGGACATTGACACGACTGCAGAGGCAGGTGCTATAAAGACAGAGGCCTCTGTCTGTCTGTACTTCGACCCTCCTCTTCCCCGCCCATCCCTGGGCGGGGGCCAGGGCGGAGCAGATGTAGGGCTGTGCTCTGGGGTCCTGTCATCCTGAAGGCACTCAGCAGGAGCTTTCAGCAGAAGAGAAATGGGATGGGATTTAAGCTACAGAAATAACTTCCTTGCAGTTATTATCAGGCATTTGTTGGAGGGAAGCTGGAGGGGACGAGGGAACCCAACAGCAGGGTGGCCAAGCGTCCTGTGCTAGCACCGAGAGTCCCGCACCCCAGGAAGCCCTCGGAGCCGGCAAGATGGCGCTGCCGGTCAGCCTGCGGCCTGGAGGCCTCTAAGGTAAATGGGCCAGACAGCGAGGCTGGAAAGTGGAGGGCCGGTTCTGGGGGCGTTGGGGCAGAATGGAGGGTCTAGGGGGAGCGGGGACGCGAGAAGTCGAGGCTGGGGTGCGTTTTCCAGGGAAGACGCATCTCGTCTCGCACGTGTGGAGACTGAGGCCCGACGGCCGTCCGAGGCTCTGCTGGGCAGCCAGGTCCCGCCAGCTGCTGCTGCTAAGGTCAGTGTTGGACCCAGAAGCCAGAGGGTGGGGACACTGAGGGGCCTCGTGCCAACCACATGGGAAAACACGCTGGGGCCTTGAGGGTCACAGGTGACGCCAGCAGGACGGGGAGGACCCTGAGACGGTGGGAAGCGAGGGAAGCCGCCCAAACAAACCCTTATAGGGCTTATTTTCTCATGTTCAATCACGTGAGAGAGAAATCCAAAAGCAGCAGAGGAATTGAAAAGAGAGGAAAAGAAACTTTACCGTGGAGCGTCCTGACAAACACGACCTCAGCCAGGTGGTCACGGTCGGCGTCAACAGTGACACGTCAGGTTGATCATCTGTGTCCTCGACACGGTGTGATGAGCACGGCACTTCAGCCCTGGGGTCCTCCTCCCCCGACCCCACCACCCATTGCAATCACAAGGACAACCTCAGACACATCCCACAGGAGGGGCGTTCTACACACACCCGAGCAGTGTCCTCCAAATGGCCACGGTCGTCCAAAACAAGGCCACTCTGAAAACTCATCACCAAGGGGGCCTGAGGGGACGGGACAAAGCATGTGATGTGGCCTCCTGGATGGAACAGAAAAAGGACATGAGGTAAAAACTGAGGGATCTGAACAAAGTATGAGCTTCAGTTAATAATCACGTGTCAACGTTGTCTTGTTAATTGTGACAAACGTCCCACACTAATGTAGGACATTAACAACAGGGGAAACCAGGTGTGGGGTCTATGGAAACTCTCTGTATTGCCTCTGTGAGTCTAAAACCTTCTAACATTAAAGGTTTATTTTTTAAAAAGCAATGAAGCAGCATTCAAAGGACACAGATAGTTTACAGAAGAAGAAATATAAATGGGTGGTCCCCATCTTCATGAGAACTAAATAAAAGAAAAGTAAAAAAGCAATGAGGTATTTTTGCCCGTCCTATTGGCGAAGATGAAAATGCTGCTAACGCTGAGCAGTGCTGGGGGCGAAGGAATCG